AACGCTACAAACATTTATGGAAAGGCGAGTGCAAATTGAAAGAATCTTCAAATGTGATGTGTAGTGTAAATTCTTAATTGCTCGAGTTTTCATGCGAATACCCCTACATTAACGAAAGCTGGAAGATTAATGCAATCTTTGACAGAATTATCTTGCACCTGGGTATTAAGCGTGAATTCTCGCAGTTGCTTCCTAAGATAGCCCCATCCCATCTCCACTGTGGCTTGACCGGCTGGCAATGACCTGACAACAAAATGAAAGTTGTAAATAACAAAAGAAATATCGGGTTTGAAACTGGATAAAGCAGGTAAAAGGAGCTCTGTCAGTAGGAGCAGTTTCCACAACTGTGTCCACACCAAGGTAATTAGCCAATCACAACAAACGTAGACACCACAGTGAACCAATGAGAAAACGAGACCAAGACACGTGCCCGGCGCAAAGCGCGGGAAAATCACCTGACAAAGTCGTGATTGATTTTAGTTTTGTATCTGATTGGCTGAACAAGTGGCGCGAGTTTTTTAAACCAATCACGAAGCGCACTAACGCAAAGCAAGCCTAAGTCGCTGTCGACTCTCCGTTGAAAACCGCTCTTTTACAGAGATAAACCACAACACTGATGCTTCCACTAACAAAGATAACGACAACATTGTCAACACCAAGAAACAACTTCTTCAGCATGCAAAATTGTTCTTGGTAACTTACAGATCTTTTTGCTGCTCATCTGACGTGAAACGTGAAGTGCTGGCAGCCAGCTGGAACAAAGGTAACGTGATAACCACAAGCTTAGTAAATTAAAATTTTCAATTACGTCGTTTTACAATCTACCTCAATCACTCTAGGACTTTTAGTCTAACAGGCCTTGTACCGTTTCGACTTGTTGTTCAAACACTAGTGTTTTTCGACTTTTCTACCTTCCTATAAATGAACTACCGGAAACCATTGTTGCTTTCCGATAGTTCATTTAGGAACTCTTTAAACAAATGTAATTCTTGGCATTACAGACTCTTAGCAACAAAATCGCCTCCTGATATACAAAATGACTAGGAATTTGCATGATTCGCTCTTCTTTACGAAAGCCTATGCTACTTTGGTCACTGAGCACATTTCATTTTGGCTATTTACCGTTACATTTCTTTTCTCTTTTTAATTAATGTAATTTCTGTAAATACTGTTAAAGTTATAATTTTTGTAAATAGTGCAAAACAATAAAAATTTGAAATCTAAAATCTGAGATGCAACACGCCTCGCTAAACTACAGTCCAACCTCCAATAGCTTATGCTTCTCCTCAACAGCCAGGATTTTTCTTGCGATCGTAGAACAATTTATACTTTTTTACTCTTATCAAAACCACCCTACAACAACAACCCTCTCCAAAGGCCATTTAAAAGCGCTCAGACACGGTATTTTGAATTATTTTGTATACACACAAAATTGCATTTAGATCGAAGGAAACCTGAAAATAGTAGTTCGCTAAGATAGAAAAGCACTTAAGAGATACTAATAAACCATAAAAGAGCAAGGATGGTTAAGGATGGAGACGATTGACACGGATTGTAAACGACGAATCTGAAAACTTTAGGCTAAACTTTTCAAGATGCGCAAATCGCTAGTGGCCGTTGTAGAGCGGCTCAACAATAGACTGCGAACAGTTTCTGTAACTTCTTTCCCGAGGATTTTCGAGAAAAAGAGAGACTGCTCGCAGTGTAGCTTAACAGTAGATGTTATTGATAAGTTTCGAGTGATACAGAATTGATATGATTAGATTCACATCACATTCTGTCGGGAGTAGATTCAACCACTCTACCAACAGTGGGTAAACTTGTGTAATAATACAACGAAACCTAACGGACTTTGTCAGTATGACTATGCGTAGTAACCATACGAGATAAGAAACACCGAAATATTTGTACCTTTTGTTTGAGATCTTCGTTGCTTTGTTTCAATTCTCTGAGATCAGCAGTCAGTTTTGCAATTTCTCGACTCTGTTGAGAAAATTGTACAACTATAAACTTCTGAAAATAACAAACTTTTAATTTGTTTCATAGGGACACCAATAGCAAAACCAACCTGAGCCATTTGTAATTCACTCTCTGACGGGAGGGACAAATCAGGTTGGTCTACCTGTGGTACATCCCGTGCCCCTTTGCTTTCCAGGTCGAACTTTAACATCCTGAGAAGGAAAAAATTGAACAATTATATAAAACACTAAATAATGATCAATTGGATATCGGTCAAGAAAGTTTTCTGGAAAATCTGAATGCAATTTAAACATTTTTTCGGGCAATTTTAGCTACAATAATTTGAAGAAGTTTATCCGTAGGAAAAGAAACGACTAGGATTTAGTATAAATCTATCAGCGTACTATCACGAATGCCGTTCTCTTACTGGCTATGTTACTGAGGTACTCACTATCTATTCTGTTGCAGATAGTGAGTAACCTAGCAGTGTGCAGTTGTTAACAAAATGACGGTCGCTTCTTTGCGTTTTCGAATTGTCTGTGAAGAGGATTTAGTTAGATTGCTTTTAAATTGAGATTTACGCGAAGACAATAAGATTGTACGCTCGAGATTTCTATGCGTGATAGTTGACTCGGGCTACGGCCTCATCAACGTTCACGCGATAGAAATCTCCAGCTCACAATCTAATTGTTAATTAGAACGGTTTTCAATTGAGCGCTGTAAAACCAAAACCCAAAGTAATAACTCTAGCCAATCACAAAGGATATAGACAATCCAGTGAACCAATCAAAACTCGAAGGGATAGCATGTAGGTGACGCAAAGCGCGGGAAAACGCGTGCGAATGAGTCACGATTGGTTTTAGTTTTACTTCTGATTGGATGAAAAAGCGGTGCGAGTTTTTTAAGCCAATCGTGTAGCGTAGTTGATGCAAAATCAATTACTTTTCGACACTCATATGAAACCCGCTCTAACAGGATTGCTATTCGTGTGTTGAATCCCCTCTACTAACTATGGTTGAATTGTATGTACCTGTAAGCCGAGGATAGACTCTCGTGTTTCTGTACCATGTCTCTTATGGTCACTTTTAATTCTCGCAGTCTGTTTTCCAAGGCTTCTTCTTTTTTCTCGTGCGAGTCTCGAATCTGTCTGACCATCACATCGATGTACGATTGCAATGACTCCACTGAAAGCTGCTTCTCATTAGCCTTTCCACAGAACACCTGTGAAAGAAAAATCGACATTCAGTCGAGAACTAGACTGTGGTATGTTCGGCGAATCTTCGTGAACCCGAAGAAGCGAACTTTACGGGCAAAAGTTGGGTGAGAGTTTTGAAAAATCGATATTCAGTCGGGAAGAAGAAGTATCTTCGGTGAATCTTCGTAAAAGCGAAGAAGCATTTAAGGGCAAAAGCTGGTGAAAGTTTTCGTCAAATTTTGTTGACTATCATGTCATCAACGAGAAAAACGAGCTGACAGTTATCATCATCTACCTGTCAAATGTACCAAAACTTTTGTCGGCTGCTGTGAAAATTTGATAAGGACAGAAACTAGAGTGCAAGAAAGTTTCAAGTTAAACGAGAGCAAATGCTTGAAGTTTCGATTATTAGCAAGCATAGGAAGGCTTATGTTTAAGTAAGTACTTTTGAATTATTAATGGGAAATAAAAAGCAGTAAGTTTATGATACAAACCCAACAAAGTGCAATGACACGTCATAAGCCGCACCGTGCAAAACGCTTGCACAGCCAATCAGAGGGCTCGTTATGTGACTAATTTTTCATAACAGGAAACGCTTATGGGAAATGAAAAGCAGCAAGTCTCACCGCTATATCGTGAATGTACTGCTGAAGTCTGTTCGTGTATTCCGCACTAAGCTCCTTAAGACGCAAGTCCAAGTTGTTGTTTTCTTCATACAGACGGTGCTTCTCGCCGTTGGCAGAGATCAATTCCTTTATCAAGAGACAGAAATGTAGGTTAGCTAACATTTTCTGGTTTCTGGAGCCTGGAATTATCTGCTCCCAATCAGGTTGATTCTCCCAAATCTTATTATGGCCCGCACATTTTCGGTAGCGGATTCTGGTCCCAGTTGCCACAGACCGATTCATTATGTCCTTTTTGGTGTTTTTGCTATCTTATGTTTCCTTCATAACGTAGTAGTATCCCTAAACTTTTCAATCCCAGGAGCGGTGTATATGTAAATTCTCCTTACTATACCAATACATTTTCAAGCAGATTGGGGATAAGAATACAGAAAGTCATCAACTTTGAGATGTCGTTAAATTCCCACAACTAATCTTAAATGAAATTTATAGGAGTCAATGAGGAGAATTTGCATTCAGATCTTCGCAGTGAGATGACTAACCGCAGATTGATGAGCAAGCTTCCGTTGAATCTCCCGTAGAGATTCCTTTGATTCCTTCAGTTCTCTTGTCAGTTTGGATCTACAAAGGCAAATGTAATGACACAATGCTTTCTCTTTCTTTCCGAAGAAAATAAAACAAAAAAAACAGCAACGTGGAAATGTTTTGTAATTCTCTTGTCTGTTTATCTGCCTATTTGCTCTTATTCTTTTCAGAGAGAGTAAGAAAGAGAGCACCCCTCTTCAAGTGCCTTAAAATAGAGCAATTGACAACGTAACGTAAACATAACATAACGTAACGTAACATAACACAACGTAACGTAACATAACACAACGTAACGTAACACAACACAACGTAACATAACATAACATAACACAACGTAACATAACATAACATAACATAACATGACATAACATAGCACAACGTAACATAATGTAACGTAACGTCACATAACACAACAACAGGTAAAAATCACCAGTATAGCAACTACGTTCGCTAAATTCCACAAAATTCCAACGTACATGACCGCCTTTGAGTTTTCGTTACTAGCATAAGTAGAAAAGTACAAACCAGAAAATATTTTACAAGTAACTACTTACATTCTTTCTTCTAACTTGACCAGTTCTCGTTTATGTTGAACTCGAAGTACCTCCGCTTTCCCCTCTCGGTGCTGGTTGTTTTGAAATAACTAAGTGGAAAAAAATTGAAGAAGTATTTTTAAAATAAGTGTATTGGGAGAATCGATGCACTGAGAAACTGCGGATGCGACACTTCTTTACAATGTAACCTTGCAGACATGACAGGCGTATTTTGTTTTCAGCTCGTTTAGACAGTGGTTGTACAAAGTCACCTACGTCAAGGTTTGAGCATCTTGAAAAGTTTAGCTCTCATTTTTCAAGTTCTTGTTCCTTTATGGTTAAAGGTAATTTTGTACGTGGCTAAAATAACTCAAAATACCGCGACTGAGCTCCTTTAACCTTCAGGGCCCACTTCAGGTTCAAAGAGTGGATAAAGCTATCCACCGTGTAAATCACTTCATCCAATGGATAAGTGTTATTGAATTACCTTACGTTATGTTACGTTACGTAAGTGTTGTGTTAACAAAACAAGCTACGCTATCCATTGGATAGAGATTTATCCGGTAGGTAACGTTATCTATCCTATGAACAACTGGGGACAGAACAAAACCAAAGTACCAAACTGATCTTCACGTTTCTTGAGATCAGATGTTCCTGTTCATAATACCTGTTTTTCCAGTTCCAGTTTCTCTGATTGTAATGAGAGCACACTTTTTGACAAGTCGTCCTGTGTTGAATAGATATCATATTAATTAATACTTTCCTATTTGCTTACATTTTGGTAGGTTTTACAAACAAAACAATTGGTTTTTTGAAGTCACTTCCTTGCAACGCAAATGCTCTGCAAATGTCAACGATGACACGGAACAAGAATAGAAGAATAGTTAAGCTCTAGTCAACATGGACAAGAAAGGGGAAGTAAACGAGCAAAAGTACGGCTTTCTTCTTTCAAACGACTATTGTCCCAAGGTCCCCGCTCTTAGCTGTCTTTGGCCAGAAGAAGAGGAGGTTCTGGGTCCGAGTTCGCCAGTGGTCTCAGTTAGACTTCTAAATACATACCTTTACATGACCTTAAGGTGGGGGGGTGCGGGGCGGGGGGGAATAGATAGAATACAGAACAACATTAATTACCTTTTCACGTAAAGAACTCCTGGAAAATTTGCTTGCTATCCTCCTAAGCTGCTCATAATACTCCTGAGAAAAGAAGAAAAACAATTGAATCTTTCACAACAGAAGTTTTAGCAGTATCTCTGCAGTTTAAACATGAATATTTATGGTAAATTATCTATCAATACCTCTACAATTCGTAATCTTTCAGTCTTACAACTAAACCACTGATAAACAGTGAAGGCCTTTGTTATTTGATGTTACCTACTTATGGATGAACAAATTTCAAATACTCTTGAAAAGAGCGAATATTGCAGCTTTGTATTAATAATTACCTGCATTGTCTCAAGTTCAGCTGCTTCTTTGTCGTTTTGTAGTTTTTCTTTAGTGTTAAGTAAGGTCACAAGTTCCAAACCTAACTCTTCATTTTTAGCCACCTGTATATTAAAACAGAAAAAAAAAAAACAGATTACAATATCGATTGTGTGCAAAAATGACGGTAATATGAATATTCATATTCTGGAAAACTTGATGTTTGTCAACATTCAAGCGTATTCATATAAACATAACATGGTGTTAAAGGAATCTCATTTAAAGGAGCTCAGTCACAGTGTTTTGAGTTATTTTTGCCACTTACAAAACTGCCTTTAAATTAAAGGAAGCCTGAAAATAATAATTTACTAAGATAGACAAATATCAAAGAGATAATAATTAACCATAATGGAACAAGGATGGTTAAGGATGGAGAAGATTGACACGGATTACCAATGACAAACTTGAAAAATTTAAGCTAAACTTTTGAAGATGTGCAACCATGATGTAGTTCCTTTAACATTACAAGTGCTGAGAAGTCACACTAAAATCATTGCTTAGAACAACCCAAGCCAGTGGATGGATAGCAGACTAGCAGACTTGAATCTAAAAAGCCATTAAGTCTTAAAATGAGCGGGGTGGGAGGTGTCAGCTGAAGTGAACTGTGAGTAAAGAGGGCAGGAACCCTACAGGAGGCAGGAGAAGTGGGATTCCCTTAGTGATTTTGCACCATTGTGTATTATTTTTTCATTAAAAAGCTATGAGGGATGGGAACAGTGAGAAAAAGCAACAAGAAACGGGAAGTTCCACCTCTGCTTCCTCCCCTACCAGTTGTAGTATCAGCATCCAGCTTCTCCCAGCATTTTACTCACAGGTCCACTGACACACTGCAGTCCTACAGATTTAACATAAACTTACCACTTTTCAAAATATTCAAACTAAATAATATTACATAGTAATAATTTAATGCATGTATGTACCTCCTTCTGATAGTCTGCTGTCAGCTGAACATGGCTAGTTTTTAAGGCAATGTATTCATCTGCTAGCTCTTTATGCTCTGTTTCCATGATAACAAGTTCTTCTCTTGCTGCTGCTAGGTCAGTCTGAGCCTTATCCAGAAACATCTGCAATTCCATTACATTATTCTCCAGCGCAAGCACCTGGAATGAAAATTATGCAACCATTTACTCTAGGATGAACTTATTTCAAAATTGAAAATTTTAAACACAGATCCCAAATTTTGTGTTGCAAAATATTGAAAATTATAACAGTACCACTAGAGTTTCATCTGCTGACTTGATGGTGAGGACCACTTTTGTGGCTTCATTAACTCAATAGTGACATTCAGTACCAAGGTTTTCAATGGAAACCTCAAACGGCAAACTGCTAGAAGTCACGTGACTAAGTGTTGCGGACAGGTTTGGAGTTCTCGACGCAGGTTTTCAATGCCAAGAAGTAGGTTTTCACATAATGTAAGTGACTTACCTGTGAATTAACATTTTTTTATCCTTAATTTCTGTTATACCATGTGCTCAGTAATAAACTTAGTAAACCAGTCTTTTTAGTAAATGCTCCTGGTCTTTGAACGGTAAGCCAGTGAGTATAAATAGGACTTTTTGTTGCCATCTGAAAATCAAACACTGCTGTTGTCTGGAAATTCAATATGGCAGCCTCTTCAAGTGAAATTATCCTTTCATGTTTTCATAGCTAAACTGATAGAGGTCACAAAAGTCTAACACCAAATGCCTAACCTGAAACTGCTGTTTGCAGTTTGCCATTAACATGAAACCCTTGGTGCTAAATGTCTCTAATGTTTGCCTCCATGCATGAAAGCCATCACAAAATATTATCACTACCAACTTTCTTTATACATCCAGGTTTTTAGAGCATAATGAAAGCCAAATTTAGGTTGCTCTATCTGTAGAGTGCTGAATGTAAAAACAGCAATGAATTATTTCATCCATGGAAAGTTGAAGTCATGTACTCTACCTTATTGTTGAGGTCAAAATTAAAAGCTTCTGCATCTTCCTGTATTCTATTGTTCTCCAACTGAACATCCACTAAAGTCTTGGATATCTGTAATATTAATAATCAAATCACAACAAGAATTTAAATACATAACTACAATAATTTCATTAGAATTTAATTAAGCCATTCCTACATACTCTGTCTATTTTAAACTTTAAAAGGCTCCAGAAGACATTAATACCCCCTACAAAGGCCATTAGAAAATTCCAAAGGGTGGGGGTGGGGCAGCATAACAAGCTAAAATTTTTGCAACCTTGTTTCTTTTGTCTCTTTTCCTCCTGCACCTTGGAGCAAGAGGGGACAGGAAGATGAAAGACTCTGTGAGCAACGTTGACAGTTTTAAAGGACAGTCTGAAGATTAACACCATTTCCACAAAGTGAGAGAGGAGGGGATGTTTTTTCAAACAAGAAAACCTTCTCATGGGGGCAGGGGAGGATCAATATTTTCTGGAAAAAAAACATTGTTTTGTGAAAGACCAGCAGAATAGTCAACATCTGCAATTATTCCTGATGCTACGACACCTTCCTGCTACCAGTGCTGATGGAGGAGAGTTGCAACAGAAAGTGTTTTACTTGACATTAAAAAGGAGGGAGAGTTACACAGTCACATGGACGCGTGTCTCCTGAACTACAGCCAAGTCTCTCAATTTATAATTAATATTATTATCCTGAAGAATATATGTCATGTACTTTGAAAGTAATGAGTCTTCTTTTTTTCAAATATTTGATATGTATCACCACTTTAGAAGACTAACAGGGTTTATTCAGCTACTCCACTGGAAGAGATGATGTTTACTTAGAATAGCCCCATTACAATTTGGTGTCACAAATTGACCTCTCTGCACCAGGGTGAAGAGCAGTCAAGAACACAGTGTTAGCTAGGATTGTGTCTTACCTGTAATTTTTCTTCTTCACTGGAGATTAGCTTTGAAGAGAGCTGTGTCTTGGAGTTCATCAGTTCACTGTATCGTGTCTGCATCTCTTCCAACCTTGTGTATAGCTGCTCATTTTTATCCTGAAGCTGAAGCTATAATAACACAATCAAACAAATCAGAAAGAAAAGTGCAGTAGATTTCATCATATAGAGTCCCATAAAGAAACTCTGAAAACAGTAAAGTGAAAAGCATATACTATTTTGCTATTTTAGCAATAGAGCACTTTTTCCATCTTTACATAACCTCATCTAAACATCAGGGGGGGTTGGAGAATTTGAGACAGTTATGAAAACTGGAGATGCAGTCTCGGGTTTGCATAACTTTCAAGGACTCTCCCACCCCTAAGTGTTTATATGAGGCCATGTACATGTAAACATGAAAAAAGTACTCTGACTATTGCTTTTACATGAAGTATTTCTCCAAAATACATGCAAATCTAAATGTCGCAGCTTAACACACCCATCAACCAGTGAGAGGCGTGTAGTGTCTAACATATTATATAACACCATATAGTCTGTAGACATTTCTCTCTGTTTGTTCATGTACAATCAATTCTTTCTCTGCCCTTCAAAGTCATGTCTCAGGAGCAACCCAGAAAATTCCATTACTGACAATGTAGCTCTACATAGATGCATGTAGTGATCTGCATTGGTTGTTCCCACATAAAAACTTTAAAGGGGATAGGTCATCTGATTTTAGGCAATTTCATCTCTTACCAGCTTGTCATAGAATTATCTGGAATAGCCTAATAACATCTTAAACCACAGAGAAGGCAAAAGGGGGTGTGGAAGGTCAAAACTGGAGAAGATTGAAACTGTTACATATAAGTATAAACTTGAAAAACAGCAGCATGACTTTTTTCATAGTTAATGATCATTTGCATAAAAAGGTTATAATTCAGAATGCTTGGAAATCACCATTCTTCGATATGTGGTCAAAATTTTGCCAATAGAAGACTGCTGCTCTGCCTATTTGAAGCTTATAACTCAAGATTAGTTGAAAAAACTGAGCAGAATCACCTAAAACAGTAAAGTAATCAAAATTGTTACATTTTCCTGAGTGAGTTGTGTCATTTGATCCTTCAGTTCCTGTGCTCTGGCTTGATTGTCTCCTGTTCCTTGACTTCTTGTACCTCCTGATATCCTGATGTCGTCTTGAAGTTTCATGATTGTTGATCTAAACTGACACAGAAGTTCCTGTGTGCAAGAAAATACAGAATGATGCAAATCTCTTGTTTAATCTATATAAATCTAATAATTATTTTGATAAATAATTAAAATTATTAAGTGCTCAAATCAAACAGCTGAGCTTATTGAGAGGCACAAAATGATTTGCAGTGAAGCCTCTACTAACAGAGTTGTACCTCCCAGAGTAGACACTTCATTTGAGCAGACACCAATACACTGTCCCAACCACCCATTTAACATTTTTAGCCTTTTATAAGCTAATAAATTTTTTCTGTTCCCAGGGAGGTCCACTTATCACTGCAAAATTACTGGTTTGGTCGACTAGATGGTCAATGCAGTAGCAGAAGGGAAATTTCTGTTTGCTTGTTTGTTTTTTTAGAAGTGTGTTAAGGAGACTGAGGGAGACTGTAAGTAGTTGTCATGGTCAAGTGAAAATATAACATTAATTTCCCATGCTAGTATATTTCTTAACATGACAGCAGTTGAGTGCCGATAGGCAACCAAGGACCTTTTGATTTTGTGCCTGGCCGGCTTACCCTTGGTCCCAAGTGATATACAAGAGAGCAAGGATGGCGCAGTGGTGAAAACGCTCGACTCCCAGCAGTGGGGCCTGGGTTTGAAGCTGGCCCCGTGCCATACGCGGGTTGAGTTTGTCGTTGGTTCTTGCGTTGCTTTGAGAATTTTTCTCCAGCTTCTCTGGGTTCTCTGGTTTTCCTCCCTCTGCAAAACCCAGTATCTCCAAATTCCAATTCGATCAGGATAGAGAACCTGCATTGCGCAGATAGTCAGCCAAGGAATAAGTCAAACTAGTTAACGATTACCCCTGCTTTTGCCCATTTAACTCACTCCTGACCCAACTATCTGCTCCTGGGTCTCCAAGTCTACTTACAAAAGGTTTAAATGTATCTACCAATTACTAGTACTTTGTGGAGTGACAGAGGTTACAGCTCAAAGAATTGTTAATTAAAATGTTTTCTATCATAACCCAGTTGTAGTGTGTTGAAGAGCATACCTTAGCCATAAAGTCGTTGACTACAGGGTAGTTCTGGATTTGAGCCAGCTGTCCTGCTGTTTTGAGTACAGTTGCAAGGCTTGAACTATCAGAAGGATGGAGGGTTACCAACGCTTTAGTTCTACAGTTTCCCCCAAGCGCGTCCTTCAACAACAAGGTTACCTTGGATTCTCTGGAAGAGTCACAGCAGTGTGTAATCACAACAGGTCACATTATTTAACGTGAGGAGAATAAGCATTATTAACTGAACTGAGTGGAGTAAAATTCAGGGAGTAATATTTGGGCAAGTAATTTTGTTTTTAAATTACATCATTGTTCTTTGTTCAAATTGTATGGCATGAGTTCAAACTAACAATCAGACCAATAACAAAGTCTAAGAGATCCACATTTAATCAATTAGTATCTGTGATGAATGATCTATTCTGACTGTTAGTCTAACCGACTGGGAAATTGTGTCCAATTGATTGAATATTACAGGTAACCAATATTATTACTCACTCCCAGAAATGCAGGTAGTACCGTACGTGTTGCATCTCAGAGCAGCTAGATTCTTAAATTTTTAGGAGGGCATACCCCACACTGCCCCATAACTTGCATCACCAACTGTTACAACCCTCTACTTCTCAACTTCCTAGATCCACCCAAAAGACTGCACCAATATAGCACTGTGTCTACTCACCCATAATTGATGACCCTGGTGGATTTTGGAGAGGCAGCTAGTTTTGCCACAAGGTTTCCAAATGCAGTAATAGATCGGTTCAGAGTAGGACCTTCTCTCATGCGGAGCTGTGTTGGATCTTCAGCTAGTTTCTCTGCTCCAGGTAACTCTACCACCAAGAATCGAGAAGTGAAAGGATCTTGGCTGTCCTTAGGAACCTTATGGGAAACAAAAGAGCAAATGGCAAGGTAAGGTAAAGTCTGCATGTACCTATAGAAGCCAAGTGGCCCATCAGGCCAGAGCTTATCCCGGTTTCTGTAGCATGAAGTGACCAGGAGTATTTCTACTCCCCCTGGATGGGATGCTAGTCCATTGCAGGGTTACCCCAAGCATTAAATTCACCGGTACACATTTATACACCTGGGTGGAGAGAGGCACTGTGAGAGTAAAGTGTCTTGCCCAAGAACACAACACAATGTCCCTAGCACAGTTGTGACATTATTTTTGAGAAATATTTTATAAAAGCAATAGAGTACTTTTTCTGTGTTTACATAGCCTCATTTAAACACTTGGGGATTGGGAGAATTCTCGAAAGTTATGCAAGCCCTCCACTGCATCTTGGGTTTGCATGACTGTTTCTAATTCAATGAACCCCCCTCGTGTTAAGATGAGGCTATATAAACATGGAAAAAGTGCTCTATTGCTTAAGTGGTCACTCACTCACCATTGACAAATCCAGGGTGAAGAACACAGTAGCCCTAGTTTCAAAATCTGTTTGTCCTTTGGTTCTATTTGACCATCCTTGACGAAACACACTGGTACATTCTGCTGCATCAGCAACCCTCTTGTAAGTGGCATTCTGTATATGAACTCCACTGCGACCATCTTCCACCACATCAACATGTTTGTCTAGTGTGATATAATAAATACAGTTAAACACTGAGTCATTGCTGTAGTTATTTGGCTGTGGTATAAGAGACTAAAATCCTCCCCTAACCTTCCTATCACCAGTATGTCAGCCAATCTAACTTGGAAGCAAAAATGCTTTTAAATCATGCCTGTTAGAGAATTACCACCACCCTTCCTGGGGAGAGCCTTTGACTATGCTGGCAGAAGTATATTGCATTGCATCTCATAGGGAGATTGACAGATAAATCACATGAAGGAGAAACTTCAAGATCGATTTTTCAGTTGTCTAATGCGACAGGTTTCAACCTCCTGATTGATAACCATGGGTTTATCACTCAAGGATATTACTTTTTTTCACCACATTTCCTGATTGAGAGACAGGAAACATGAAAAAGGAAGAGCAAGCTCAATTTACAAGTTTATCTTGTCAATATACTTACAGCGATCTACCCGAGGTTAACCCCCTAAGGAAATTCCCTAGTCCTTTAACTTTAACATTTAATACTGTCTAACTGAAGTTAATCCCAAGCCTACCTTCATGTGGCAGTAAAAGAAGATCTCTTACTTTCTCGTTGAAAACCTCATAAAACTGCACTAACACAACTCCATCATTGATGTCATTTCTCTGCACCCTCAAGTCTTTTCGCGCTGATCTCTCATTTTTTATCCGCGTAAAAACAGAGTTTATTATCAGAGGAATAAGCCCAGCCTTTGAATTTTTCTCCCCCGCAAGAGAATACGACTTGCCAGATCCCGTTTCACCGAAAGCTAAGACACAAACATTGTAACCAGCTATGAAAAGTTCTACAAGTGGAGAGAACGCGTCCCTGAAAATGTCATAGGTCAGTGATTCTGATTTGTAAACAGCACCAAAGATATGACCAGTTCCATTGCTTGCTTGTACGCGGGTACCCGAAAGATTCAGAGAAAAGTGTTCTCCTCGTTTCGGTGGTCGAATACGAGCTAATACCTCCACATTCATCTTGAACTACGTGAAAACCGCCATCTTGTAACTTTGCAACCAGGCCTTTTGAGTGTCGCCTGGCTACCAAGCTCGACCACAGACAGAAGAAAATACGAATCGAAGAATATGCTGGAAAAGTTACGAGGAAAAATGTTCTGTTGTGGTGTTCTTTTAACGTTGTCCGGTTGTTAAACAGTCAAGTAATAAATTGATGTCTTATCGCAGTAATGTTTCCAACAGCAGGCTATTTTCGGAGTACAAACTGCCCGTTCTTTGTCCATGGTTTGTGCCACCGGCCATTTTGCCATTTTCGACATAGTAAACCAGGTAGGCAGAGTTTTCGTAGCTCTTTAAACATGAAATTATTATATACGAAAATATTTTCTAACGGTATGAGAGTTGATGTTACACCTTCTTTTTGCTTAGGAAGTTGTGAATATATTTTAGAGTAGTAATATTAACTGACAGTTTTAGAGAATAATACCGAGTTATAATTAATTAAATTAATTAAAACTTAATAACTTTCAAGTCATAAGCTTATATTAGCTGTTCAGCTGCAATTTTGATTTAAATAAGTATAAGTTTGAGTGGCTATATAATCAGTTGCCAGTAAGTGGTGTGATTGTTAAATTATTTATTTACACTATAAGCTAATCAGAGAGTTGTAAATTAGTCTTGCGTTTAGGGGAAAATATTTCTTTTTATTATTATATTTGATTAGTCTTCTTAATTGACAAATTAAGCTTATACATCTGTAATTAGATTTGAACATCAATTATTATCTGTATGAAACACCACATTGAACGAACGTGGATTGAATGAGGTGAAATGATGAGGGCTAGGAACAAGGCAAAAAGTAACCAAAACTGAAAAACTGCTTTTCTTGTCACCAAAAATGGAAAACTGAATGCTAAAAAAGGGGGAAAAAAAAAAATGCGGCAGATGTCAAAACTCGAAAAACAAGATGTCTTTAAAATGCAAAAATAAAAAAACCGATTTGAAAAATAACCAAAACATTACATTTACTTTAAAACTGAAAACCCTAATGCCTCTCTCTGAAACTTGCTAAACTATGACCACTGTAAGTATTTCTGACCTTCTGACCTATTGGACCCTATTAAAGTAAATTTCTGTCTCCTATGAGGTAAACTTGATAGTTATTATTGGCAGTGAAACACAAACCCATTGATTAAACAGAGTACGCATGTTTTTGGAAGGCAAAGTTACTTAATATATATAAGGTGCCTTCTCTATGGCTATTTGTATATACGTAGTGCATTTCTAATTGAAGGAAGAGGAACCTTCAGGAATAGCCACAAGTTGTATAAACAGTTCCTTTATGCCATTTTCTTTGAAAGATCTCCACAGTGAGATTAAATATCATTTTGTGATCTATATATTATTTGGAGTTACCCTTACATGTACACAGACTGATGAAGAAAAATTACTATTTAATATGATAGAAAAGAACAACTTTTACTGAGCAAGTTTATTTTCTTTAATTTAAAATAAACAGGACTGAAGACTTCAAAGAGCAAAATCTCACCTCATAAACATAATAGTCCTCTTGAAAGACACATTGTTAATAAAACCAAAACATCAAGTTCTGAAAGTTCTGCTGTAGACAATTTGCAAGATGCAGATAAAACCAGTACACCAGAAAACAAGACAAGCAAGTTGCAACCAGCTCAGGAGACTGGTAACAGCAATGACGACAAACTCCCTTCAAACACAACAACTGCAATTAAAGGTATTCTTAAAAGACCAAATGAAGAGATGACTGTTATTGATCAACAGTCAACTGTGGAAGAATCTTTGCCTAAAGACAACTTGGAACAAACGAAAGCCACAGTTACCTCAGATGTAACAACTGACAGCAATGTAGAGATGTTTGATCCAGATGACTCTGAGCAGCCCTTTGCTTCTCTTACTGATGAGGAGAAAAAGATTATAGGATTGACAGCCTGTCCACCAAGTGGGGAAAGCCGTAGCAATTTGGCTGCTTTAAAAAATACAGATTTGAAGTCTCTGGTGTCAAATTCTTCCACTTTGTTAAGTTTATACAGCAACACTTCAACTTGTATAAAATCATCTGAAAATAATACTGAAGATAAACCTGTTTCGAGCTATAATGAAGGTGATATCAAACCTGCAGATGCTTACAAGGCAGTAAAAGTTGAACAAGTTGAGGAGGATGATTCAAATGAAAGAGTAATTGATAACAATGTTAAGGTGAAGGAGGAGAGAGGTGAAATGTCCATAGACTCCAGACTTGACTGTTTTGGTGAGAGTCATGACCTCGCTGTCACTAAGGAGAAATCTAACAAATCTGATAAATCAAGAAAAAGGAAATCTGTTCCGCTTCAAATTTCAGATGATGGATGTCGAGATAAGACACTCTTGTTGGATGTCACTACAAAGAAAAGGAAATCCCAACAGTTGCCATGTCATGCTAATTGTTCTATTGACTCTCTGCCCATGAAGAGTGAAGAGGGTTGCAAAGCTATTAACAAGGATGAAGGTTGTGTTAATCAAGAAGCAACATTGCAACAATTTTTCACATCCGCTTCAAAGTCAGCTAAATCGGACAATTCTAGAAAATCAATTCTAAACAACAGTTCTCAACACTTAAAGGCACACAAAGCTGCTTTTGACAGCCCTGTTAAATTAGAAGAAAAATCTACCATTAAAAAGTCAATGAAAGAAAGTGTTCATCACCAGCCTAAGAAAAAGCACAACTTGTGTGAGACTGAAATTAATTTCTTTGGTCCCACTAAAAAAGCTCTTAAAACTGACAAAGAAGAAAAGCAAAAGAAAAGCAAAGAAAAAGTGATTCCAGTGAAGACTTTAAAAGCACACAAAACAGAGAAAAAAGGAACAGACAAGAGTAAAAGCGTACGGAAAATCGAACCAAAAATAAATACACCTATTCATATTTTGTCGAGTGATGAAAGTGATATGTCTAGTGCAGACAACCTGGATATGAATGCTGAAGAACACTGTTCCCTAAAGAGGATTTGGGATGATTTCGAATTACCAATACAAAATGACAGTATTCTGGAAGAGGATTCACAATCACCGGTTAAAAACCAGGCGCATGAATTGCCTAGGAGGAGGATGCCATCGACATCAAAAGAGACTAGTGTGGAAAAACAGCTATCAATGGCAAATGCATTAGGACTGGGGAAAAAGCAGCGTGTTGCGCACACATCCAGTCATGTAAGTAGAGTGGTATTTAGTGTCTGTAGACAAACTTCATTCTAAATCAAGTGCATCAAGCAGGGATGTCGTTTGAGCTCTGGAACTTGTTATTGACAGCTTTCATTGTCAGTGGTATTCAGCCATTAGCCATTAGCCAAAACGTTTTGAAATGAACTTCTTTACTGCGCCTTTCAATAACATGCAGACTCTAAAATTCAAAGCTCAACCGACAAATGCGTTTTTTGCTGCTGTTAATCAAATGTTCGGCAGCTCCTCCCAGCTTCTGACTATTGCCGAGCACACGGTAATCAAATCGTTGAGCACAGTTCAAACAATGAAACAGTGCTCAGCATTAGTTGGAAGCTGGGAGGAGCTGCTGAACATTTGATTGATTGTAGCAAAAAAAGCACTTGTTGGTTGAGCTTTGAGAGTCCGCATGTTATTGAAAGGTGCAGTAAGCTTCCTTGAGCTAACCAGGTCGGGAAAATTATTCTCACAGCCAGTCAATTTTCAGAGTGTCTGGCTTCTTGTTATTATCAATTTGATATAATATTGACAACCACGGTGAATTTCAAGTTTTATGGACACATGGAGTGGGCTGTTCTGTTGTTATTAAAATGTGGCACATAAAACTGACAAATTAAATAATGGTATACTATCTGCAAGATATTGTACATATAAAAAAAATTATAGATTTTTTATGTTACAGTTGCCGAGGAGATTATCATCAAATGCCAATCCAGTTAGGAGGTACCCTAAGACGCTCTCAGCCATACAGAAGAAGAATGAGTCTGTGGTAACCCCAGAAAGTTTGGTAAGAACTGTATTAAAAGAGCATTTAATTTTATTGTAATCATGTTTTGTATGCAAAGTACAATGGTACAGATTAATATTTATGTTGTCTTTTCTTAAATGTAAATAAGGCCAACTGAGATGTGAAGGTGAATTAATCAACATGACACGAGCGTGGGACAAAGAAAAATTCTGAGTCCCCTGTCGATTCCTGTCGGGGATGCAGAATTTTTCTTTGTCCCTCGCTCGTGTCATGTTGATTAATTCACCTTCACATTTCATTACCAAGCTTAAAATTCACCATCTTTATTAACTTATCAAGGTCAACTGAGTCACCATTTTTGTTGGTGAAGCAAATGGCAACAACAAGTAATTATGTTCTCAGACATTACATTGTGTTGAACTTTATTTAATCTGAATGTTTAAGTGTTAATAAAACCTAAAGGTGCATTAACGCAGCACAAAAGCATTCAAGAGAATGAGCCCATAAATCAGTTAGGAATTGTTCAATTTGTTCAAGAGATATTTTATTCATCTGCAAACTGACATTTATCATTGATGATTAAAACAATTATCACAGACAAAATGTTTGATCATAGTTTGGATTTTGTTGAAAATGGGCATTCACTGTAGTTTGGTAAGCTATTGTCCTATAATGGACTTTCATTTGCATCACTGAGCAATATTGTTGGGGATCATAGAATGCTGCTGTAGCTACACGTAATAGATAGAGAGGTCTAGAATCAGATCAACAGATCATTTTGCTTTGCAGGAAAGGCAATAAAATTCATAGTAAAGAGCTAGACCATTGATATTGCTGATGGTTGATAAATGTATGAATTTATTCCAAAGGAATCCTCTGTCAGTTCTGCGGTGAGCTACAGGCCTGCCAAACAAAGGGTGGCCCATGTCCTCAAGAGTAATACCCCTGCAGGATCCTTGCCGAGACCGAGGATTCCTGTGGAGTATGGTGCTAAGGTGCCTCAAAGTCAGCGGCAAAGGTACCTGGACAGGATTGTGGATGAGTACCTTAGAATATGCTCCACTGAGAAAGAAGCATTTGAAAAGGTAACTCCTAGCTGTTGGTAGTTAAGGAATAGATATACTGCCATTCCTTTGTTATTTTAAAGTTTTGAGCTAGCCTTGTGTTATTGGGCAAGATGCTTTTAGTTGTTATTAAAAGTGATGTTATGTACCTTTACAGTACCTCTCTCTAATTTGAAATTCCCTTAGAAGATAGATAACAGGAGGCTAAAAGCTGGGTAGCCCTGTTTTGAGAGTAGAAATGAAACTTCTAATTGCTTTGTCCTTTTGATAGGCATCTTAAACACAGATTTAACATGTAATTAGAGACAGTCACTGTTATTTATTATGCCTCTTTATTAGATACTATGTGCACCGTGATTGGCCAATTTAGTGGGGCGATATTCTACTATACACACATAGAGATACAATTGATGTCTTACTAACTCATCCTTTCATTCTGTTCTGTAAGTCTCGGATCCTTGTTTTTACCCCTTCAATTTATGGCCCACACAGTTTGTGCTTCCAGGGCCATAAATTGAAAGGGAAAAACATGGTTGGTAACTTATGGAGCAGACCTTGAACTTAGTAATTATTATAAGTAAGAGATATTTATTAACTTACTACGATTATCAGTTGAGTAAGGCACGAGGGAAGTTTGGTTACCAAGTTTTGGCCTTAAAATTATGGTGTTGTCATGGGCAACTTACCTCGTTTCCATTGGTAACAATATCAACAGCCATGCGTCACCTGTCGCGTTGCCTACAATTTAGCGTGTTTTGCTGCCAATGACGTCAAAGGCCGACAAGTTGCCAATGGATATGGAGCCAGTTGCTTGTGACAACAACACAATTTTTACATTTATTTAAAACTTGGTGACCAAACTTTCATCCCGCCTTACTCAAATGATAATCGTAGTAAGGTTGTGTTCTATTTGGATCAACCATTTCAACCACAACCAGTTTGGGTTGATACGGCTGACCAATCTCAATAGAACACTTTTCCAACCATTTCTGGTTGAAATGCAGCTGCAGTAACTCCTGGGAATAGTCCTTATGCGAGCTACAATCACATGATGTATTCATGCAAATGCTTTTTCAACTGTTTCAACCTGGTTTGCAGACTGTTGAAAAGGTTGATCAACCAAACCAACAAAAAATGGCTTTCCCCAGTTGAACACAAAAAAGCCCAACCAACCAGAAACAGTTGATCCCAATAGAATACAGGAGACAGGTCTAAGAGATTTAATATTTGATGTTCAGGCTGTAGACGAAGAGAAAGCATTGTATGACAGAAGCACAAGAAGACAAGTGTACTTGAATCTTTGTGTGAATGCAATTAAAAAACTGCGGGATATGACACAGCTGGAATCACCGTCACCAGTCAAAACTGAGACCGCAACACGGGTAGCTGTCACTAAGACATTGTCGTCAGGGGCAGTTGTTGTCAGTACAAAGAGTCCTGTAAATCAGGAAAAACCTGTTAGTCCAACTGAACAACTCACAGGTAAATGTTATGATTAAATTACTTATTTTACAATACCACTGTGGATTAACTGGCTACTTTTGCACTAACACCAGGGCTGTCAATAAGGGCTGTATCTGGTAACACCTGCTTCTGCTGTATGTATGTTTGATAGGTCCTTCATGGTGGTTTTACGGGTGAGCTTGCCTATAGTTGATACAATTCACCTAAAAGGTGACAAGATTCTTCTGAGTGTGAGGGTTAAGGTTACAGTTGACTCAAAACTTAATGACAGCCCTGAATCATATGACCACTATTAAATATTGAATTTTTGGTGCATGACCTGTGATACATGCCAAACTTTTAAATGGAGAATTACTCACCACACATAACTTTTCAAAAAGAGATTTAAGTATCAACTATGAATGTCCAATGTCTGCTCATGCCCCGATCGGTCTATAATCTATTGTTAGACCAATCACTGCATGAGCAGACATTGGACATTCACAGTTGATACATAAATCTTTTTTTAAAAAGTTATGTGTAGTGAGTAATTCTCCATTTAACAGTTTGGCATGTATCACAGGTCATGCACCAAAAATTCAATATTTAATAGTGGTCATATGATTCAGTCAGAGATATTTAACATCTCTGACTATTATCATCCTTCCACAAAACAATCTCTTTAACTGCAGTAATATATCAAACTAAGAAAGACTGTGTTTCACCATAAATTATTTTTAAACACTAAGAAGAGAATTAAAATATTACATGTAGCCAACTTCAAGGTGTTACTAGGAAGAATCTACTATTGTTGCAAAAATAGTTCCTGTTAGTTAGCTTGTTTGCCGGACAAAACACAAGAATACATAAAGGATCTCCTCTTCCACAACCCTAATCTGGGATTTTCACTTCGTTCCTGTGATCAAGCCTTTCTATCCGTGCCTAGAGGGAAATGCACTACATTTGGAGACCACGCCTTTTCTAGCTTGGGTTCATTTTTATGGAACAATTTGCCCTCGGCCATACGATCTAGCTTGTCTTTGGACATTTTTAAAAAACAATTGAAAACAAATCTTTTTAAAATCGCTTATGAAAATTGCTGTTTAGAATTTTTGTAAATCTTAGTTACATTAAGCCATTTTGTATTTTTGTATTTTTAGCACATTTTATGCTTTTTATAGATCTTTACTTTAGTTTGTTACCTTTTTTTATGTTAAGCACTTCCAAATATTTCATAGTGTTAGCGTCATATAAATGTATAACTATTAATTATTATTAACATGCAATTATTTCTTTTGATTCCTAATAAATTGTATTACAGAAGAGGTGATGTATGATTTTCTGTCCAAGTATCTAATGAGTGAAGAGGACTTAGTTGAGAATGGCTATCCACGACCATGTCCCTCAGCACCAGGAAAAGCTGTTTTCAAATGTAGAAAGGAGCAGCCTTCCAAAGACTGTAAGTATTTATTCTGTTTGTGATACTTTGAGGTTTATAATTCCTAGTAACAACAGCAAAGGCAATATAAACTAGGATCTAAGAAAGTAGGGTTAGGATCTAATTTGTTATAATTTGCTATTGTTCGCCTTGTGATTTTATCAATCTTAATAACTTGTATATTTTATTTTATTTGTTTTTAATCAATTATCTAATTGTAAAGCTCATTTGATCATGTATGTCATGGAAAATTGGGCTATAAAAGTTTTATTTATTATTATTGTTCTTGTTACTGTTCTTGTTCTTGTCATTGTCATTGTCATTGTCATTGTCATTGTCATTGTCATTGTCATTGTTCTTGTTCTTGTTCGTGTTCTTGTTCTTGTTCTTGTTCTTGTTATTGTCATTAAAGTAATATGTGAGGAACAATATCAGTTTATACTTGTATAAACAAAGAAGCCTTTAATACCAAACAAAAAGGAAAATGTTTTGACCAGTTACTGTAGTTTTCACCCGGTAAGTTGCTATGGCAATGTCTCACAGTTGAAAATCTTTGACTACATGTATTTTAATATATGTTTCTGATTAATTTTTTTAATTGGCCATTTTCACTCTTTGAATCTCTTTTTAATTTGCTCTTTGTTATTAAGTTCTCTGTCAGTTATTGGTTGCAAAAGTACAAATTAAACTCAAGAGCATTGGGTTTTGGCAGTTACTTTATTATTTGATATCGTGTAATTAATATTCTAATTTTATAGTAATTCATTTAGTAAAGCAACTAGTGCCTATACTGTTCTTGAAGTTTACAGAGTTCCCATTAACACACAGGTGTGCATATTATACGCACAAAAAGTGAAAAGGATGCACAGTTTTTTGACAAAGTGCGTCCTTGGGACACAGGAAAAGAGTTCTGAAAATTTTAGTAATAGAGTGTGTTCAGTGTCATGTAATAGAAAATAAAATCAAAAACCATTCAGTGGATAAGGTCAAGAAATTGTGGTATTATAGACAATAAATAAAGAAGACAGTTCTCCAAGTTTGAGGTATGTGCGTTGTCCCAAAGTTGAGATATTCATCAAAATGTTCCGCACAAAATTATCGAACCTGGTATGGAGCCACCATGTTGGAGAACCTCCTTAGTCCTTCAATATGGTGGCCAGAAAATGGTGTAAACATCTGGAACTTACTTTGGCTATCTAGACAACTGATTATCTGAACCGAACCAAAAAACATTTACACAAGCACTTTTCCTAATACTTAAACTCCTAAAATGGCTAAAAGTCACAAGATAAGTGTATATTTTGTGACAAGAGCGATCTTAACTTCATGTCATGCTCTGCCATAACTCCGAAATTCAAATTGCGCTGGTTTCCAAACAAAGGATGCTATTGCGCTGGAAAGTTGTAAACAGATATAAATTTAGTACCTCTTATGCCTGATGAGGAGAAAACCTTTAGGGGCTCTTTAGTTCTGGATTTGAGAACTTGATGACGTCACGTGAACACGCTCTATAGGCAAAGGACCTCTTAAAGCAAAAAGAACCCCCAACTCTTTGGAGCTGGGGGTCCCAAGGACCCTTAACTATCAAAACTAGTGGGAACTGTGAGTTTATATTAGCAAAAAGCACTTATACAATAAAACTACTAGTGGGTGGTTTTAGATTGTTTTCGTTTTTCATCTTCAGAAATTGCCTCAGTCAGCCTCGTTTGGAAGAAAAAAAGGGTAATAATTAATAATAGGGGAGGGCACCTGGGAGAGTGGGGGCTTATTGCAAATTAAATCAAGTAGGTTATGACGATGAACTATCAATTGAGGCTAATCCTTAAAGCCCAACTTTAACAAACTGTGAAACAACTGCAATCAGATACACTTGTAATTCTATTTGTCATCTTGAACAATCTTCCTTTTTCCTCAGCTTCACGGAGGATTTGCTGTCGTTGTGGCAAGCCTTTTGTGGTACTTGAAGATGGGAAGTACTTAACAAGAGAGGAATGTGTATATCATGCAGGGAAACTATTCCGAAAAAGAGGTGAAGATTTGTCTTGACAGTTTACGTCAGTCTTAAGAATTTGAAAGACATTCTTCTTGTACCATAAATCCTCAAATAAGCGCCCAGGGTGCTTATTTCAAATTTAGGAGAAGACGGGGGTGCTTATTCAAGGGGGGCACTTAATCGAGGGGGGGGGTGCTTATTTAATTTTTCCCACTGACATGATCATTTTTTTAAATACATCATCTGCGTGCAAACAACAACATAAGCTGTTTATCGACATAAAAAGCTGGTCCTAAAGTTTAGATCGCAGCACAATTAGAAATTCACGTGGTCACAAACTGAGACAATATACAAATCTAGTACTACAAGACGAAAACTATACATCCTTTGCTGTCTCATTACTTGTCCACAAAATAGGGGGAGAGGAGGGGAGCGCTTATTTTAAATTTTGGCCGATAGGAGGGGCGCTTATTCAAAGGGGGCACTTATTCGAGGGGGGGTTCAAAGGGGGCACTTATTCAAGGGGGGGGCGCTAATTCGAGGATTTGCGGTATACTGTTTTCTTTCAGTCTTTGTAAAATAATGGCATTCAAAAGACAGTACACTGCATGGAGAACACAAAAATTAATCCAGCCCTAGGTCGTCAAAATTAATTTTTGGTCATATTAATTTAATACACATGTATGTAGGTATTAATAATGTACTGAGCCTTTAAGTTTTACTGTACATACCAGATAAATTAGATGGAATAATAGAGTGATCTTTGTCATTTCCTGATCTCAAGTGCTCAAGTGCAGGACTGTGGCATATTAATCTATTTCAAACCATGTTATGATATTAGAAACAATAGCTTGGCTTTTAATTGAGTGTTGTAAAAGCAAAACCAAAGAAATAAGTAAACCCTGGCCAATCACAAAGGACACAGACACTTCTTATCAGTGAATCAATCAAGACTGGAAACAAATTCATAATCATGTAGGGGATGTGAAAGCAGGGAAATGTCTGCAGGTGAGGCACTATTTGTTTTGGTTTTACTTCTGATTGGCTAATAAAGTAATGTCAGGTTTTTGTGCCACTCACTTAGTATAGGAATGTAAGACCAAAGCAAACACAAATTACGTTTGGTGTGGTGGTCTCATGGTTAGTGTGCTCGTCTCCAGATTGAGCGGTCCGGATTGAAGCCCTGACTGGGGACATTGTGTTGTGTCCTTGGACAAGACACTTTACTCTCACAGTGCCTCTCTCCACCCAGGTGTATAAATAGGTACTGGCAAATTTAATGCTGGGGGTAACCCTGCGATGGACTAGCATCCCATCCAGGGGGAGTAGAAATACTTATAGTTGCTTCATGCTAATGAAACCAGAGATAGTGCAGGCCTGGCTCGTATGCAAACTTTACCTACCTACTGAAGTGAAAACTGCTCTATAGATATTGATGTCTATAGGGTTAGGCTTTTAGTAGGGAAGTTTGTGGGGATCGAAAGCTCCTGAAAACAGACATTTCTGCATCTCTTGAGCAAGATTAATTTTAACAGTATATAAAGAGAGGCATCTCTGTTGATAAACTCAGGCTAGCTTGACAATATTATACAGGTATGTATTATTGACCTGAAATGAATCATTGCAGGAGAACCTATCACAAATTATTCCTGCTGCCAAGGAGATGCAGGTAGTCCTGGCTGCTGTGTTGGAAAGGTATTATTCAACTTGATTATTTTATTAAGCACTGTTGATATGCTGTACGTGTATTACTGCTCCTGATTAAAATAATGCTGTGTCTCAAATAAATGCCCCATAGATGATAATTTGAGGTACAATACTAGGTTTTATTTGGGGTCCAGCAGTAATTTAAACCTGACTGTATGTGAATGTTATCAGAAGCATATCACCTAGGTGATATGCTTCTGATATTATATACAGTGAAATCCCGATTTTTTTGAGCTTCCATGGGAAACGATAATTGGTTTGAAAAATTGGATAGTTTGAGAAATCCAAGTAAAATTACAGCGTTTGACCGAGGAGAGAAAACAACTTTTGGTTTGAGTTATTAGGAGGTTCGAAAAACTGAGGGTTCGACAAATCGGGACTCCGCTGTACTAGACAAATCTTTATGATAGGAAATTGGCCAGCGTGATCAATGCACTCTACACCCCAATGACTTCTTGCTCTAAGCAAGGTCTATATTTTACTGTTTTTTGTTAATGTTGTTTAGTTTAATTTTGCTTCAAAATTCATGAAATTCAGGTAGTAATGACCAAGAAATGAGTTGTCAAAAATGATGAAAACTTTATGTCAATAATAACATTAATGCAAGACCTTGGATTATTGCTGGGTAAATAAGGCCAAGTTTGAAATAACTGTAAGTAGTGCTCAGCATTTAATTAAGCAAATACTATGTAATATCAATATGTTAGACCAATTAATTTACATGTAAATATCGGAAAATACTCAGGCCAGTAGGATCAGGATTTTAGTAAAAACACTAATGATTATCACATTTACTACATCTGCACTGTTTTGTTCTTTGGGCTCGTTCTTGCATTCATGGTTGGAGAAAGCCCTTTACCCTTACTGCTTACCTTGGATTGGCTCTAACATTTTTTATCCATCCTCTTGACAGGTTCATGTGAGTGATAATGTGTACAACACAGATGGTTTCATGACTACCATAGTAAGTCCACTGACAGACCAACGAAAGAAGATCTTTTCCATGGACTGTGAAATGGCAAGTTTTCAAATCCATATTTCTGTGCTGTTAATAGTCTTGAATTTAAATTGTATAGTAATTTTTGAAAAAATGAATCTGTGAGTGAATTAGTTGTTTCACAGTCAATTCAAAGCAAACATGCATGTCACACAAAAAAATGTGCTCTCACTTTTTTCTCCCAAGTGAGACTCAAATATATGTACATGTACCTCTCCAAAATGTTGAATTTTGGGCCTTGGAAACATTAATCCAATCTTGAAATCTTGGAAGCCTCTATGATAAGTCACAAAGCCTCATTTTCTGGAGTTTCATTCTTTTTGGAGTCTTAAATCATTTAAGATTCATGATCATCAGTCCTTGTCACACCATGGGACTCATAAGGCCTTTATTCCAGTCTCGAATCATTACTCACCTTTCAATAACATGCGGACTCTAAAATTCAAAGCTCAACTGACAAATGCGTTTTTCACTACAGTCAATCAAATTTTTTGCGGCTCCTCCCAGCTTCTGACTACTGCTGAGCACTGTTTTGTTCTCTGAACTGTGCTCAACAATTTGATTACTGCACGCTTGGCAGTAGTCAGAAGCTGGAAGGAGCTGCTGAACATTTGATTGACGGTCACGAAAAATGCATTTGTCGGTTGAGCTTTGAATTTTAGAGTCCACGTGTTTTTGAAAGGCACAGTAAGCAAGGATCTCTGTCAGTGTCTTGGCAAGTCTTGCATTTTACCTATTTTCACCCCCAGTATGGAATTTTTGGGTTCATGAGGCCAGATGAATAAAGCATACAAAGACGGACATTTTTGGTAAATTTTGTATAATTTGTTGTATACTTTTAGTGCTACACTACTGCAGGTTTGGAACTGACTCGGATCACTGTTGTGAACTGGAATTTAGAGAGCGTGTATGATTCATTTGTTTTGCCTGAAAGAACTATTGTGGACTACAATACAAGGTACAGTAACATACTGACGTCTCAACAGGAGAGATGACGTCACGTTATAATTTGAAAGTCACGCAGTGCCTTTTTATATCTTTCTTGTACTTAAATCCCTTTTCCCTAAAGTTAATTCAATTTGGAACCTTTATGCATAAATTTAAGGAGGGTAGAAACAGGAGTTGTGATCCTGTTTCACGCACATATTTTAAACAAAATTCACCTTCCACAAAAGTCGAACCTCTCCATATGGAAACCTCTCCATACGGACACCTCTAACAAGGACAGTTTCCTATGAACTAACAAAGTTTTCATACATTTCCTCCAAAAACCTCTATAATACAGACCCTCTCTAATGCAGACAGTTTCCTATGTACTGACAAAATTCTCATACATTTCCTCTAAAAAATACCTCTATAATACGAACCCTCTCTAAAACGGACAACAGACACTAAATCTAGGCCCTAGGGAGCAAATTCATACAAATCTAACCTCTTTGTTATGGACACTCCAGGGACCAGGTGTCAATAATTTGCGGTAGTATTTCGTTTTGTTCCAAAATCTTTTGTACAGCATGTAACTGAGAAGTACAATAAAGTTTATCACTTTAGATTCAGAAATTCACAAGACACTCACTTTTGGACCTGATTTTAGTTACTCAGCACTCTAAACTGTCAGTGGAGACTTGAAAGTGACGTCATCATAGTGGCCTCTCCAATACCGACAGCTCGCTAATATGGACACTTCACTCTGTCCCTTCTGTGTCCGTATTAGATAGGTTCAACTGTATACTTTTAGCTACTTTAATTTTAACAATGGTTTTTTTTCATGAATTCACATGAATCACATAATTATGTCTTTTACTGTCTTGCTTTTCATGTGTCACACTAATTTTTTTCACTGATCATCATGTGCCACGCATACATGTAAACCCTGTAGTAATGGTAAGGTAATACAGTGTAATGATTACTGCACTGAACTCTGGTTCAAGCAGTCTAGGTTTCAGCCCTAGTCAGGGTCCTTGTATTCCTGGCAAGGCACTAATTCTCACTGAGTGTCTCTTGATCTTGTTAAATAGGAGTGTAAAATGAGCACTGGTGAATTTAATGCTGGGTTGACCCTGTGGTGATCTAGAATCCCAAAAGTAGATATACTCCTAGACACTTCTTGCTACAGAAGGGCTAGATGCTTGTAATTCAGTTTGCACAATGTTCTCTGTTTGTTTTAGGTTCAGTGGAGTAACAGCAGAGTCATTACGTGGTGTGACAACAACTATCCATGAAGTACAAGCAGTGCTTTTAAGCATGATTCACAGGGACACTATATTGGTTGGTCATAGCTTGGAGAGTGACCTCAAAGCAACTAAGGTACCTAGTACAAATAATTTGTATCTAATATGTGGGGGAGGGCAGAGGGTCAGAACCTCCCACTTTCCGTACCCTGCTCTCCCGCCTCCTGTACCTTTATCTCGTGACTCCCACACTTGTCCATCTTGTTCCCATCCCCTGTAAATAAGGAGACTCAAAACACGTCCTTGTCATATAGCTGCGCAATCCTTAGGCGTTTCTTTCCCTTTTTTCCTTTGTTTTCAGACTTGCTCCTGTTACTCACGTCTTTTGACAGCTTAAGTGACAACATTGCATGACCTATGATGTAACCACCGTAAAAGGGTTTCCAATTTTACTTGAAGTAGGCCTCAGTCTTTCAGCCCCAGGGCAAATTTTCATTTTTCCATCAGTCAAGAAGTCTCAAAATAAGTCAAATGTAAGTCAAAAAACATTTTGGGTTCTTGTTTTTGAAAGTATTTTAATGCTTAATATTAAATGATTCCCACCTTCTTAGAACTCCTGCTTCACGCCCTTTCCTCTCCTGCCCCCTATTTTCCTGGGCTCCCACCCCCTGTCCCCCCAACTAATATTATATAACATGAGCAGTAAGGGTTTGCTTGAATAAAGCTTTGCCCGAGTGACAGCCAGTTGTCAGATAGATCTATCAATCAAAGCAAGGCAAACCATGGTGGGATGTACAGTACAGCCATCAGCAGTGTCTTGTCAACTAAAATTTGATATCACTGGCTACCTTTGAACAGAGTTTCATTCATGGTCTCACTTTTTAAGGAGCACTACTTTTTCACTCTGAGAAATTTAATAGCAATTGCTTCTGTAGGGGAGATGATACTTTTGGAACTTTATTGTATCACAGTTCAGTTACTGTTATAGTTTTAATAGTCTACCAGTACCGGTATATCAAAAGTTTACATTTTGTCTTCCCAGTTAATTCACAGTAAAGTGGTGGATACTTCTGTGGTATTTCCTCACCGACTGGGCCTTCCATACAAGAGAGCACTGCGTAACCTCATGGCAGAACATCTGAAGAAGATTATTCAGGATAGCGGTATGTAGTGATGTGTTACAGTGGCACCTCCTCAGGACCAGAAAAAGTGTCCACTTAAAGAAGGGAGGTTAAAATGCAGTGATTGTACATGGCTGGAAACATTGCTAAGTTTCAGCTTATGGGAGATGTCCGTTAGCAGAGATTGGACTGTTGTTAGAATCTGGGGACTTCAAAGTCCACACTGCTCAATTTGAAACTTTTTAAGGAAGTGTACAAACAACAGACAAGCAGGACTGTCGTTAAGGGCTGTAACCCGTAACACATGTTATGGCTGAGTATGCTACATTTTCTGTTGATGCTAGGGGTGAAATTGCCTTTTGTTGATAGAATTCACCCACAAAGTAACAATTTTGTTACGGATGTGGAGAACAAGGCTACAAGTGACTCAACACCTAATGACAGCCCCGGGCAAGTAACACATTGGTCCAAGTTCTGGAACATTTGTTTTACTTTTGCATTTCAGTTGATGGTCATGACAGTCATGAGGATGCAGCAGCATGCTTAGAACTGATGAGATGGAAGGTTAAAGAAGACATGAAAAAGACAACAAGACACAGGCCCCCACGCCATGCGCTATAAGTAACAGTCATAAATATAATGTGCAGCACTATCTTATGAGGTACCCTGTGCAAAGGCATTACAAATTCCCAGCACTAGTCTGAGTAAAGTTTCCTTACTCAATTCCTCTCCTGTTCAAGGGACTTTGTCTTATGATCTCCACGCCTCTCTAGCCCAATACCCAGAGTTTGGCCTGAGGGATGGAAAGCTACAAGAACTAAGGGATGTAACCCCATCCCTCTTTGTTTGGGCAGGGATGTAAACCCCCCAGGTTTTAGGTTGAGGGATTATGACTACAAGAATTTGGGCTGAAGGATGTTAAAACCCCTCCTACTTTGTTTGGGTGGGGAATGTAACCCCCCAGGTCTTAAGTTGAGGGATAATGACTACAAACAATAAATAAATATGACACAAACCAAAATTCATGCAACCATTTTTTATTGCATTTAAAAATATCAGATGCAACTGGTCAGACCTCTTGAGAAACCTGAAAAAAAAGAAAGAAAAAACCATTGTCTTGTTAAAGACTTCACCATGCCACTTAATACTTTAAGCTTTAAGTTTATTTACTCAGGAAACGGTCTTTTGGCAAAAGGAGGCAAAGAACATTCATTGGACATTGGCTTTCTTGTTCAAGGTTCGACATAACAGTGATTGCAATTTTGTCTTTAGAATTTCAGGGTTTCGCATGCCTTTAGGTTATAAAAAAGTATTAGATGTGTATTTAAATAATATTAATTGTTAGTCAAATATAACAAGTACACAGCACGTTTGTTGTCGACCTCGTTCCCAGGGTCTCTCTCTCACCGTGGGGAGAGAGATACCCGGGGAATGAGGTTGGTTTGTTGTTACTAATATTTACAATATTAGACTCAGGAAGCTTGAGGTTTCTGTCTGTTATTGAGCTAAGAATCAAATTATTAGCAGTACTGCGAGCCAGGAGTCTAATTGCTGTTATTAGCACACCCAGTAGCTGACCTATTAAACAGAGAAAGTTGTTATGACTTGTTTAATAGTTTTGTTGAGTTATGTATCTTGCTACCTCTGTAGCCAATGAGATGTCAAGTTTGCTGATGGTCAGTTACTGGATTATGCTAATAAAAACATATTATTATTATCCCTTCCCCATATTTTGTGTTCTCAACCTAAAAATAAACCATCAAGTACTATTTAATACTATATCAAGGAAATAAAAGAATTTAATGGTAAAATAAAGTGACTCCTTTGTTCTTCATGCAAATTTAATAAGTAAATCTTAAGTAATCAGATACAGTGCATTCACACATAAGCCTAACTTGCTACCTCGCTACAGTGTCTACTGAATTACTTATAATTTTTGTAAAATTTTCACCTAGGGAATAAATAAATTAAAATAATTTAAAAAAACCCTGGACCACCTAAACATTTTACTCAATAATTTTTTTTTGAGCCTCTAGACAAACAAGTCTAAGGCTGTTTTTTTTTCTGGTGATTCAAGCAAGAAAGTTGTTTTGCATTAAAGCACAAAATAAAGTGAAGGCAACGTTATAGCATAAGTTCAAACATGTTCCTTGTGCCATCCAGAAGAATTGAAGCACAAAATAACACTTCAATGCTTTTGGTTTACTCATGCTACCATTAATTATAATCCATCAAATATTTTCACTCACGTGCAATTGGTCTAAACACTTCACGTAACCAAATATTCCCCAACTAAAACTGGGGAATATTCGAGAATATTCCCCAATTTTCAAAACTGAAGAATAACATAACCAACAGCCTCCCTTTGGGGCGAAAATATGCTGGGATATTTGTCCTTGGACATTATCTGTTCCTAGAAACTCACAGTTTTCCGAGAGCGTACCACAAGGAAATGGAGGCTATTGTTTATATATATCTGTTTTGATAATATTTACCTTTAATTGTCATTCCAATTTTGTATTTATTATTTTCCCTGAAGAAGAGAATCTGGTACCTGAAAATGACAAATTTTACACACTACATTAAGATACTGAACAGTCAGATGCTCCTCATAACTCAATAATAACCTATTGCCCAAGTTAATTTTTGACGCATATTTTTATTCAAACACTAACCCACTTTCTCAAACTCATTTTTATTTAATAATTCATCACGTGTAAGCAAAGGAAATCATGCGCGTGATGGTGTGTGGATATCTGATCTCAATTGGCATAGATTTTTACGATTTTATTTCTCCATTTTCTCCTCAGTTTTAGTTTCGATTGAGAAGATATATCAAACACTCAAGACAGTGTTTGACCACATTTCCAAACACCTCAAAGTTTGTCAAAAGCACTATGCTCCATGTTGTATTTTCAACTCTCTTCTCGGTGTTTGGAGATGTGGTCAAACATGGTCTTTCGTGTTTGACATATTACATCCAGAACTAGAAATAGTAAATACTTTTTTTGGAGTTTGTGTGAGGAAAATCCTAACAATTAATGGTACATTTTTATGTTAACCTTAAAGATGACTGCACATTAAATTATAGTTGCTTAAATATTGTTCTTAGCATAATGCCACTCACTGCTTCTTTGAGTGCCTTGTCCAAATCCTCAATCAAGTCTTCAGTATCTTCAAGTCCCACAGACAAACGAATCTGGAAGATAGTTAAGATAGTTGTAACACCATTGCTACACAAAAATTAAACAAGTTGGACACTTGATGGGCTACTCTTGTAAATGTCACTGTCCAACAGTCACATTTGTCATATTAAAACTCACCAGAGTGTCTGATATTCCTAATGCTATTCTCTGATCTTTTGGAACAGATGCATGAGTCATGATCGCCCTACAAAGATAAATGGGGTCAATGTTGTAAGAATGTTACATAACCTATCACGTGAGATTAGTATCCCTGACTGAATAAATTTAAGCAAATCAAGACAATACATTAATAGGAGGGTTTGTGCTGTAAACAAGTGCACACAAATGCTTCTGCCTTCATAACACGAAACTTACGGTAATTCTGTCAGGCTCTCAAAACCACCAAGACTCTCAGCAAGAGTAAATAACTGAAAAAAGAAAACAATTGATTCATAATCACTGCATTTGCTTGACATGGCAACTAGGGAGTAAGTCAGAATTATTTATTGTGGCTCATGGCTTGAAAATCATACTGCAAAATGTGAATACAATGTGGTGTCAAATAGTAGCACATATATTACATTAGACTTTGTAAATCATTCCTAAAATTTACACCCACCAATATCTTCGCTAAAGTTACTCAAAACACCTCCTTGCAGGTGACATGACTAGCCCCCAACCCCCATTCCCAAATAACCACCTCTTCCACAGGACTGTCATGACGTTTTCAGTCACCTGTAGCCTTGATCCTCTATCAAGTATACTCAGCCATAACAGGTGTTACGGGTTACGACCCTTTGACAGCCTTGTTAGAATAAATATTTAAAATGAGTGCCCCAGACCTTAAGTCAAAAACACCTGGTATTTTCCCCTTTTATTTCTGAGAAACCTAAAATTTTAGCAAACCCGAAGCATAGACACTTCCATGATGAACCATTATAGGCATGTATGTAGCCATTCATGACTACATGGTGGATTTAGGGAGGGGGAGGGTTGGATTGGGTGGCTAGCCACCCCATTTGGATGAGCAAAACATTAACAAATTTGAAAATGGTTGTGAATATTATGGCAGAAAGAAAGGCCAACTCTCTAGACAGGTACCTCATTTTAATGTCTACTTTGTGGCATGCTGGTATTTTTCAATTAGGCTCCAGTTCTCAAATTGCAACATTTTGGGAACATACTCCATTGATTCTGCAACCCCAAGGTATGAGCCACCCCCCTTTCAAAACTCCTGGATTCCCCCCCCCCCCCATACAGTACATGTACTTGTCTCTGATTTAGCATTATAGGCCCACAATGCTTACAAAATGTAGCTGCATTAACAGTGTGCATGATAAGAGATATTATACAGCACAATAGGGTTGCATTGTGTGCACATTGACAATGGAGAATTGTGAGAATGCAATATGTGCAAAGAGCTCTGCAGCTAATCACTTCTGTGGCGCATTAGCTTGTCTTTCAGGCTTTGATGATTGTATACCATCTATGACAATTAATACAACTAAATGATTATTGCAGCCCCAATATTTGTTCCTCAATGGCGACAACAATTATCTGCCTTCCTACATCAGATAAATATCAATTTTAATTATTGGAATAGGCTCTCTTGGTGGCTTATAGGAAATAAATCTGAACCTCTTGCCATTATATTCACAGAATTTCCAGCTTCAAATAAATGACCCATCTCTGCTTCGTTGACTCTTTCCCGTTCGTGCAATTCCTATTGGTCCTTTTCTTCTTTTAATTATATTGTAATTTTGTGACCAATAAAGTTGATAGACTAGACTAGACTCTTAATTTGAAAGAAATCAGCAGAAGTACCAATTCATAATCCTTCCAAACCATCCTGTTGTTATGATGTTGTTTCATGAAGAGTTAACTAGTAAGTTATACCTCAGATGATTTGAAAAATTGTTTGGCATTCTCTATATCTCCCTTGATGAAAAAGGTCACCATTCCACCAAAGCCTGTCATCTGTCTTTTAGCAAGTTCATGCTGGGGAAAAGATTCCAGACCTGACAAAACAAAATTTTGTAAAGTGTTGACACAGTTGTAGATACAAAAGAGTGAAGAATTGAAAATTGAGAAGAAAAGCTGATTAATCATATCATGGACTTCTACTCCTAAAACAATGCCCCTTATCAATATACCCCTGAACATGGCAACCTATCCCCCTTCCTCCTCCTCCTCCTCCCCCAATCCTTGGCAGACACTGTACCTGGATACACCACCTTCTCCACCCTGGGGTTCTGCTCCAGAAATTTAGCCACAGCCATAGCATTGACTTGATGTTGCCGCATGCGTAGATGAAGAGTCTTAAGCCCACGGTTAGCAAGGTAGCAGTCAAAAGGACTAGGGACTGGACCAATAGCTGATTGAATCAAAAGACAGTTTATTGTAAGTTAGTGTATCAACCAATACGTACTACATGTTTTAATCTTCAGGTCTAAACCTCTATCCTTCCAGTAGCTTTAGAATAAACAGCATTATCATTTGATGTATTTTTTTCTTCCTTTCCATTGCCTGAGAGCCCACCACGTGACCTTCAAATAGCTGCCTACAAATAATGGTCTGCTCATGCATAGTACCGTCTAATAATTGATCTGCTCACCACTTAGAAATCACAATATTTTGCTCAACCTCGTCCAATAATAACTATTAACAGTTAAAAATTACCACTGACAGCTATTTTTCATCAACAAATGTGCTCACTGAGGTACTACCAATACTCCTATCTAAATTAATTGAAGAAAGCATTAGCCATGAAGGCTTTTAATTTTCTGAGCAAACCCTACAGTCAAAAGCGTTAAAGTGTTACAAGGTTGGGGTTAACCTCTAAAACACTATCATGGTATTGTTTCTTAGTGTAATAGTTTTGTTATATACTGCATGGTTTTAAAATAATGCAAAACAGTACATTGATAGTGCCTAATAATTAAGCCCATCCATGAATATAAGATTATGAGTGTTATCTTAATTTCTAAAATGAAGTAATCCATATGTGTAATAAGTGTATGTGTGGTAATTAAGTCTGAATGAAACAATTTTACAGAGTATCAAAATGAAATGAGACAACAGACAAATTAAACTCAATGAGTCTACAGACTTACAGTTCTGCAGAAACCTCAGCCTGTTGCAGAGTTCTTCATTATTGGTGCAAATCACTCCCATTACAGTGTCAGAATGACCTGAAAAAAGCACAGTGTGATCGGTGAGTTGGGAAGATACAAAGAGCTCTCTTTTGGTAAATATGGATACAGTGGAAATTCAGGGACGAGGATTTCGTTATATCGAGGTTTGTTATATCAAAGTTCTGTTCCATACATTTTACTGTTACTAACTTTGGTCAGGCTAAAGAATGTTGTTCGTTATACCAACGACTTTGTTATAAAGAGGTTCGTTAAATCAAGGTTCCACTGTAGTAACTGATATAATCGATTACAAAACAAACTGAATTCCAACAAAGTTGTGTCGGTACTTTTCTGTCATTTCAAACAAGACTTTTGGATTTTTTTGATATCTTTTGACACAGTGTGTGGGTGTTATCCATTTTTGGGGAGTTGATGAGAAGTCTCTTTAGACAATAATAATAATAATTAAATAAATAATAATTAACAATTATGGGTCAAAATGTTGCTGTTCCAAACATGGACAGTTGGTGTACTATAGTGGCTGGTAAAAGGAAACATTCATATACCATTCATATACTTTGTGACTGAGTGCATGACAAAATCGGCCCCAAGAGACAAAGGTCTCTGCAAAAGAATATATTTCATTATTTAAAACTACAATATAATGGTATAATTTACTTGGACTAAACTTGAATTCCTTCTAAGAAGAGCATTATATCTGTACAATATGTCAACATGATCAATTATTTACATATTACCAGTTTATTCATTGATAAAAGCAACTTCCCCCAATGTTTTGGAGAAAACTTTTTTCTGGTCTGTATGTACATAGTGATACATAAATATGGTGCTCCATTTTAGAAGCCTAAGGGGTAACTAAATTAAGTTAGAAAAACAAACTATAGACAAGCTAATTAATGGGCGACTAGAACATGCAATCATCCTTCTTAATTTTACAATCCCAATTTTACCTAGAGCTTTATTTTTACCACCCCCAAACATAGCTTATTCAGGCAATTCATGCACGCCTTGCATGTCTACATGTATGGTTATAGCATTACAAAATAATATATGCCACCTACAGATATCACTCAAACATACCATACCTGGAAATATGATGACATGAATGTGTTGTCCACCACTAAAAACACTCCCTAGAATATTATTTTCGATATTGACTGTTAGTTATGGATAGAGCTAAAATATGCTAGTTACAAGCATGATCATAAACTCAAGACTATAACTTCCACAAAACATACCTCATGTTGGTGGACTATGTCTGCAGCTCCTTGAATGTCAGCAAGTTTCAGTAAAGGGTTAGTTGGTGTCTCAATCCACACCATCTGTATTTAAATGAAATTACATGTAGAAAAATATATTTATGTCTTCTTAAACTGGAAATTAATCTGTGCCTTCAAGCACAGACCAACCAAAGAAACAGAATTTATCTGGAGTGACTATAATTAAGTATCATTCGCACACACTGTGTGCAAAGGGCGAAGTTTAGTTCTTTGCACACACTGTGTACCAAATATTGATATATGAACAATAACCTCCATTTGGCATGAAAATATGCTAGGATATTTGTCTGCAGACATTATCTGTTCCGAGAAGCAAACAGTTTTCTGAGGGCATAGCTTGAGGAAAACTGTGAGCTTTGAGGAACAGATAACGTCCAAGGACAACTATCCTATCATATTTTTGCGCCAAATGGAGGCTATTGTGTTTATTATCCTTCAAATCCTTTTTGCAACACACACAGTTTGAAAATTGGAGAATATTCTTGGATATTCCCCAGACCAATCACACGCGAGCGCAAATATTTGATGGATTATAATAAATGGCATACTAATTGAAAGCAAGCAATCCATACCTTGGTGTTTGGTTTGATAGCACTCTTTAGTTTACTCAAATCAGTGGCATCTACAAATGATATTTCTATTCCCATCTGTGTGGCAACCACTCTTGAAAAATACCTGTTGGTACCTAATAATAAAATAGCAACAATTATTATCCCTGCAATTAAATTTACTAAAAATCATATTGTTTGTATCTATTGCTAATAAGTAATAATGTATTGTTGATTTGTCGATTTACATTGAACATTATAATGACCACTTCTCATTCATTAACATATTAAAAGTGGTCATGGGTTAATGTTGAAAGAGTTTACACCATTCATTTTTACACCTTCACATATCTGACACAGTCAACCATCACAGAGTTACCCCCAACATTAAAGAGGCCCCTTTTGGGGGTTTTAGGGACACAGGGTGTTCAACTGTATCAGGAGCCCATCACCCAGAGCCTCCATGAGTATTATAACCCAGAGTCGACCCTTTCCTGTATCATTCTATTTTTAGAACTGTAATTACAACGGGGGTCTCTTAGTTTTCTCATGAAATATCTTGTTTCTGCAAATAAAATGCAAATTAGTGGCCAAAAGGGATCCTAGTCTTTGTTGTGACAAAAAATGGTCTCAGCTTGGGTAACTGATTGGCTATTAAAAAGGGGTTGTGTAAAAACTCCAAGAAGAGCTGTTTCTAAAATATTACAGGAAAGGGTTGACTCACAGGGTTAGTATAGTAGATAGAGGCTCCGGGTAATGGGCTCCCGACTGCATACATATTCAGCTAAAAAAAATTAATGGGATACAGGTAGTTCAGATAAAATTTGAGTAGGAAAATTGCTAAATTTTGTAACTGTAATTTATATACTAAATAAATATGGTATATTTACATGTAGGCCAAAAATTAATGAGATGTAGGATACTCAGACCTCTCTCTAATGGGGCATTAATAAATTCAAGGTAGCCTGCAAACAGGCTCCCAGTTGGAGGAGCAAGCACAGGAAAAATTTGGCGCAAAGCGCTGCTCGGCACGTCGTGCCAAATTTTTGCTGCAATTGCTCCTCCAACTGGGAGCCTGTTTGCAGGCTAAATTCAAGGTATCCATTTATACATGTAGGAGGAGAAAGACTTTGTGAGCGAATTGTCTTGCTGAAGTTACCCTGAGGGGTACTTTCGTAAATATTGGATAGGTGTGTGCCGTGAAGGGTCTTGAAGCCTGACCCTATTTAAGGATGAAAGATATGAAAAATGAGACCTTATTTAAGGTGCAAACCAAAAACATGACATCCTATAGAAGGGAAAAACAAAAACCAAGCATAGCCGTGGACGCTTCAACTTNACACCAGGCCAATGATTACAAGGGTACGGTAACGGAATCAAATTCTTGGAGTATTAAATATTAGATGTTAATTTGTTCAAGAAAAGTAATACATATAGGGACGTCCGTCAAAAGCCGTGGCAACTAACTAGGAGTAAAGTGCGCAAGTTATTTGTAACGAATAACACGTGGCGTATTAGCTAATTATTTTAACTTCTCACCATGTTTCGCGCCCTCTAGAGCCGCCACGCACGCCTCAAAACAATTCCTTGTTGGGTTTCCAGATCGCGAGTAGTCAAATCCCTAAAAGACACAAAATCAGAGAAAACACACAGAGATGTTCATAAATGGACAGTGCATGTACACAGATCGATGTACGATGTAAAGTTACGTAAGTTAGATAATCAAATAAGCGCCGCTGACAAGTTAATCATCGTAAAGATGTACAAACTCACTCGATAAACCCCAGGGGCATCTTGTTTAAACGTCGTGGACATTGAGATCGGCGGTACAACTGCCCTTGAATTCCATTGCTCGGGTTCTTGGCCAGCATGAATCGCTAAGGTACCGAAATGCGGAAAAGGTTCGAGCTTCTTTTGTACCGATTCATTCGCCATCTTGGAAGAGGAGGAGACAAAGGCCCGGGGCAAGAGATGATGACATAGCACTCGCGACAGCGCTCTTTGATGCAAAGTTTTTGCCATTCTTGTTTTGTGCTCTCAGAGCAAATATTTAGAAAGATGCCGAGTCAGTAAAGGAGCTGACACGATTCTCATCTTGTCAAAACTCAAATTTCGAACTTTTTGGAATCGATAAACGCAATAAACAGAATCAAAAGACAAACAGCCACCTCCCCCAGACATTCCCCCACACACTCCCCCACATTTTTTAAACCACGTGCGCTGTGAGTGCGCCGTGTGTGCGTTTACGCGTTCTCCACGCGCGTTCGTTCTGGATCGCCAACTAATCACCAGTCTCCTCTCGTTCAATTCCAAGATGGCACCTTCCATCTCTACCTGCTTTTCGAAGTGAAGACCAGATCACAGAGATGAAAGTATTCTTCCCAAGTCATTGCCTGAGTGCAAAGAGTGGCTTCATCTTTGGATGGAAGAAGGAGCAAAAAAACATCTTTGTTGCTGCAACAGTCATTTATCTTCCCGATAATTCGGTTAAATTGCAAGTCTTTTGTGAAAAAGCTGAGCAGCTGTCTTTGTCTATTCTCGGAGTCTGGCTAAACGAAAGTCATGAAAAGTCTGTTCGTGAAGTGTTGGCAGCAGTGGAGACCACGTGTAGATTATTTACTAACGAACTGATTATAATACGCCTGGCAAGAAACGCCACTATCCCTCAGCTGTATATTGGGTCGGAAAAATTAAGATCTGGGCTGAATGGATCTGTGGTGATTTTGTACAAACAGCCGTCAGGAAATGCTTTCTTGACCACTGGCCCTTCAAACGTCAGCAATGTTAAGTTCTTAAGACAATCATTGTACCAAGGACTAACATCTTGTACAGAATTGTCTGAAGTGCTGATTCTGCTAAATAAATCTCGTCATGCTGAGGCGGGTATCCGGAAAATACTTGAAACAAAAACTCCTGATGGACTGTTGCATAGTCGAGGAAATTTCGTCTACAAATTGGTGGTGAAGGCTTTTAGTAACGTTTGTGGTGTAATGTCTCAAAGAAGACGGCAACATCACCCAATCTTGATAGAGATAGTCAAATTCTTGTCAAGTGTATCTGCTGTTTTCCTTCAGATTTGTATGCGTTTCAGGCAAGTAAAGGCTTTGTGTATTTGTCTTGATCAGCCAGGAAGCACAAAGGATAAACAAGATGACAATTCAGAACAGTCGGGAAAATCACCATCGTCATCATCTGACAAGCAAAATCAAAGTTTAGAGAATGATAATAAAGATCGTGCAATTCCTATGGTTTTTTTTGGCAGTTTGCTCTGCACAATGGCAGTTGATATTATTTTGGGTGTTCTCATCGTGTCATGGCTCTTTTCAAATGGTTACAACATGTGCGCCACAGATTTTATGATGGAAAAGACTGACACTGTTGTAGAGTTGCTCAATGCACTACTGGATTGGTTGAAGGGAGCTCCTGCTGGGCTTAAACTGAACAAACATTTGACAGAGTATCTAAGCACATTCTTCCTTTATCACGTGTATCTTTGGCAAATTTACCTGAATTGTATCGTGCCTTATCTACAGATCATCATCAGTCTTATCATCATGTCTGGTTGTTTTGGAGCGACATTCTTGTTGTCTTTGGCGTCAGATGTTTTGTCCCTTGTAACACTACATATCTACTGCTTTTATGTTTATGCCGCAAGAATTTACAATCTCCAGCTTCAGAAGTTGGTGACACTAGCCAAACTTTTCACAGGTTAGAACATTTTGTATTTTGTAGAAAATTTCTCTCTTCTAGCTCTTTGCAAAGCTGCGGTGGACCTCACATTATAATTAATTTATGTATTCCTTTTTGATATCTTGCAGGGTGCTTAGGGCCAGCCCAGTTCTTACAGGCCAGTTTCGATATAGTAAAATTCTTACTTGGCTCTGAGGCTTGGGGAATAAAACAAAAGAAATCACATTGAGGTTGAAGGATGAATGTGTAATTTCTTTTGTTTTATCCCCCCAAGTGTTGGGTTAAGTGAGAATTCTAATTTATCAAAATTGGCTTATTCATTTGAGATTTTTTGTTTCTCACTCTGTAACTCCACTCAGACAAAATGCTTCCAAAAATCTGTTTATTTTTTACAACTTGCTACTTAAAAACCTGATAAGTATGGGGCCTCCAGATTTACTGGCAATAATTTATTGGGAGTTGTAAGTCAATAACCATTTTAAAGCTTAATGTCACAGATATTTGTTTTTATCAGGAAGAAAATGGAATGTTGAGAAGAACCAAGTGGACATTGTGCCATATAAAGCCGACAGACTCTTCCTGGGAACGTTGTGCTTCACAATCCTCCTTTTTCTTTTGCCGACAACTGCTGCATACTATGTTGTGTTTACAGCCCTGCGGCTCATTGTACTATTTGTGAAAGGCATTGTTGGGCGAGTGATCAATATGATGCACAATCTCCCAGTGTTTCCATTGATGATTGCTTTTGTGAGGTCAGACCTAATACCAGGTAAATATTATTTATTATACATTCAGATTGTAATTCTTTGCATTTTTAGGTATTTTTTTGTCATCAGTTTTCTCTACTTTGTTCTGCAAGGGACCCTTGGGTTGGATGATCCGTGAAGTTTTGGAAGAAATGCTTGAGTTTACAAATTAGAGAGTCAAGAGTCAAAAACAAGTTGTGTTTGCAGTTAAACTGGGTTTTCTAAATTGTTTCAAAGCAGAATTGATGGCTAAAACTTAAACAAATTAGCGAGAAAATGATTTTTGCATTCAGTCTGACTTTCTACTCTGATCGAAATTTATAAAGGATCCTACAGGATTGTGTAGGAACCTGATTCCTATAGGATTTGATAAGACCCCTTGAAATCCTTAAGAGGAATAGGATCTTACTAAAGATCCTAGGATTCCTGCAACTCTGTTAGGACGTATCTACAGGTGTAGTTGGGTTCTATTGGTGGCAAGCCCCCAGTAATATCTTCTTACACAATCAGTGCCTCTTACTCCACTTTATGCCACTTAATTAGCTCACGTGTGTGAATAATTCAGTCAGCGCTGAAACTATTTAACAATTATTCCATGAAACTGCGTTGGATATGAAGTGATAAATAACCAANTAATAATTAATGCAAATAATATGTCCTCTTGATTCATTTTAGGGGGAGTGAAGTTCGAATTTCTTGGCTCATCAGATACTTTGACAACAGATCTCAACAAACTGCAGCCTTTTGTCGAAGGTACAACAGGTCCTTTGTCAGCTGTATATCTGTTTCTTCATAATCAACCAGTCCCTATCATGGACCTGTTGCAATGCCAGTTGATGGACCAGTACTCTGATCATGGAGGCTATAGCTGGCCCATGCTGCTTGGGAGATTAGCCAAAGGGGAATTGATCTATCCCTGGGTAAAGTCAAGAAATTTAAGGGACCAACTTAGGAAGCAGTTTAGTGCAGCTCAACACTGGCTCTACCAGTGAGAATACAAGTTTAGCGAGAGAAGCAGGGATCGCAATGTGGTCTTCACAGCTGTTGGTTGGCAAAATGCCACTGACCAGAACTCAGGAACATGTGTGGTCACAAACTTTGCAGCTTGGCTTCCAGCCACTGTTTTGCCATTGTTTAGACTGTTAGAGCCACTAGCTATGCAGATAAGCACAGATTACACTACTGTACTCTTGAGAAAAAAAGTTTAAGGGAGTTGAGTTACATAATTATCAGGTATTGTTCTACTTGTCTTTTAGAACAATTTCACGTGCTCACTAAATGCTCAAACAAATTTGATTGCCTAATTAAGATGCTTTTTATATGAAAACTTAAGCCATCTCTAAATGTGCAAACGGACTCGATTCACGCAAAGGTATTCACTTGAAGAGTTTATGAGCCTTTGTTATTATCCTAATTTGTGGAGACTGTAAAAGTATAGAAATCAAATCTTCGCATTAATTTAGTAACTTTGCCTTGAGAATGGTGTCACAATGACGCTGAAACGTTGGCTATAACTTTAATATTCGCTCATTTAGTGTTCAACTAACAATGATATATTAATACTTGAATTAGTACTGCAGGGAAAAGATGTGGCGAAAACCACTTAAAATGTAAATTCACTCAATAATTCTCTTTGTTTGCATGATCAACATGTCAACTCACTTTACAACACTGAAATGTAATCAAAATTGATGCCCCTTAATTGAAAGAAATTTTGTTTTCATTGGAATGTGTCAATGGCAGCAAACACACAATTTACACAAAATCACCACTGACAACTTTTTTTTATTATTAAACCAAACCTATGACTTCTACAGTTTGTATTAAAATCCTACATACTTTTTAGTGTGATAAATATTATGCTTTGCAATTTTTAATGCTAACAAAACTTATAAAAACTTCCTAAAATTTACAAGCATTCATGAAGAGGCCCTGCCTGAGTAAAAAGCTACAAGCAAAGAAAGATGCAGGTCTTGCATTCTCACAGTCTCGCATTTACCACTCACTGCCCTTAACATGCACACACAAAGTTCTTTCCAATTTGTAAACTAATGATAATTTCTACTGTGACCCAGAAGGCCTTGCCGTAAACACAGAAAATGTAATTTTGTAGTAATATGGCCATCAGGTTATTCTGTAGCCTGCGTCGCACACAGTCTTAACCGCCAGAGATTTTGTGACACGTCAGGCTGCAACGCAGGCTAGTTATTCTGCAGCTATGTGTTAATGCCTACATAAATAAATTGTAATGTAAAATTAGCTCAAATTTCTATTTCATACAATTATATTATCAATGTGGAATTGACCATTTTACAGCTGTTTGTTCAGTGACTTGGCATTTGAATGGCAGCAAGGCTGAAGGTGACCTTGTTTTGATACAGACTTCACTGCTTTTGTTGTGTAAATCAAGTTGTTCTAATGCTAACTGGTTGGCATTAAATGCGAAAAGCAGAGAGGTCTGAATCAAAGCAAGGGCACCTCCAGCCTCACTTGCATTTATAGGCCAGGTAACAATGCATGCAACTGTAAAATGGCCTGTTATTACAAGCTTTTTCCAGGAACACAAGTTACATTTATGTGTTAACTGTTTTTAGTTGTAGCCTCCTGCACAGACGTTCTTATGGCTCATTATGCACTCCTTCTCAACGTGCAGAGGAAGGATTGTGTGATGAACCCAACATGCAGAGGAAAGATTGTGTGACAAGCCCAAACAGCATTCGCATAGGAGGCTATTTTAGTCGCAGATGACATCCATTATAATTATAATCAGAAAACAGCTAAAAACAAAACAAACAGCTAATAATGTACATGTATTTAACATTTTGCATAATGAAGTTTGGTCCAGTCCTTGTGCACTCCTTGATAACAATTATTTTAAAAAATGCCAGTAAAAAAGATTGCGAGAGATATACATTTAATTTCCAGTCCAGTTTCAATATAATGAGTAACATAATTAGGGTGAGCTTATGTATTTTTTGAAGTGGTGTATCATCAAAAGGAATTTTGCATCTAAAAAATTGCTGAGCTTATATTTGAAAGAACTTAGCATCTAGAATATTATAGGTGGACACAAGATTACTTTACATTAAACCTAAAGAGTAAAAAGTAAAATATAAGTTTGTGGACTTGAATTCATTCCTCATTACTGGAGGAATTTTTGTAAAGGGCAGTAGTTGGACTGGGGGGGGGGGCTAACTGGCTTTAAAATACTACTATTACATCCAGCACTTAAGCAGAAGTGTGAGAGCAAAATGTAATTTCACTAAGGAACAGCAGTCCCTGGTTGTCTTCTAGAAGTTGGTGGCCCTCAGAGAAGGATCGCTGGTATGGACATTATTGGCATCCTCGTTCTTGGGTGTGTACCTCTCAAAGGGTTCCAGAGGAATATCTTCTTCTCGTGCACTGTAGTCCATCGACATCAGATCATTCCGTGACAGGTGCTCAACTATGCCAGCTCCATATGCATCACCAACAACATTTACAGCAGTACGGATACGATCCCTGTGCAAAAGGAATTATCAATGGTGTTATACTTAAACTTGGCAAATTTATGGAACTTTTCAATTTAGAGTTGCTATTAATAATGAATTGTTAACTTATACAATACTACATTACCTTACTGACACTAATTTCTACATGAATTGCAGATCTATGATGCAAGCATTGCAAACATAATATGCTCTATATTATCTAAATTACTGCATGCTTCCTGGACTTATGATGCTAGATGATCCTTCTCTGCACAAATTGCATTGCAGACCCAGAAAATCTAATCCTGACCTATAACAATGGATTATCTTTCTCTCCACACATTGCGGGCTCTTTGTATGCATTGCAAACCCAAGATGCTATTCAATCTTATTCTGCACCTATTGCAGACCTATGATGCTCATCTCTCTGCACAAGTTGCAGAGTCAGATAATCAAACTCTGCCGACATATGATGCTGGATAACCTTTAATAAATTGCATACCCAAATAATCTGGCTTTCCACACCCATTGCAGACCTATCATGTTAGATGAGCTTTCTCTCTTTCTGCACACGACACACCTGAGAGGTGTAAATTAATAATGCCAAAAATATTTCCTGATTCTAGCTCAACTTGGTGTAGAAGACACAGTTAAAAATATAAAACAGAGAGCAAAAGGACAAAAGAATGAGGAAAACAATGGTAACAATAGGTTTGCGGGGTGATGCTCAATTGTGACGTGTCCTGTGTCCTCTACATCAAGAAGGAGTATGGCTCTCCCGTGGATTATCAAGAGTTAAAGGGTTGCTGCTGACTGTTTAATGATGTTACTTTTATTATCATGAGTAACTTACAAAAACCAGTCCACTGCTAAGATGAGTCCAATGTCGTCAGTAGGAAGATTGACAGCCTGAAGGACAAGCACCATGGTAACCAAGCCTGCTTGTGGAATTCCTGCAGCACCGATAGAGGCCGCAGTGGCAGTGAAGCTATATTATTCAACAAATTAATGTTAATATAACATAACTATTAATCTTTCAAGTTGTAATCATAGACAGACAGTCAGACAGACAGACAGACAGACTGATAGACTTTTTTGTTTATTAAGGTGAATGACTTACACATCATAGAAAATTTGAAAACCAACGGCAAATGTTTCAAGCAGTAGCCCCGTCATCAGGGCAAAAACATTTAAACTATTGTATTTGTAGACAGACACAAATCCCAAACTACTGTTACCCTGCCTTTCACTTCACCTTTCTTTATTATTTCCTTCTTTTCTTACCATGTTGTTATCAACTGGCCAACATTCAGTGTAATGCCGTTGGCCTGGGCAATAAACACAGCAGCAACGGCCTCATACAAAGCTGTGCCATCCATGTTGACTGTGGCACCAAGCGGCAGAACAAAACGGCTTATACGAGCATCAACTTTGTTATGCTCCTCAAGGCAGCGCATTGTAGTGGGAAGAGTTGCAGAACTAAGGAAGATCAAAATGCTGGCATTAAAATATTTTCATAAAAATTATTATAACCCAGATGTTTACTTAACAGAGTTTTTTATGTAAACTAATGTAAACAACAGAACTGTTGCTCACTTTCTTAGAAGGCTTTAACCCTGTGCAATTACAGTAACCAACCACTCACCCCTGGTGGATTAAGAGCAGTCTCCAGAAGACCAATTGAAAATACTTTTTTTTTGGTGGAGGTGGGGAAGTCATAGCTCAAGTTGATAGACACACCAATGTATAACCTACTAATAATGTACAATATACAAACTTGATGCAGGGAAGAACCATGTCCCCAGTAAAAGAGATTTTTTTTCTATTAATAAAATGTATATTTAAATTTTCTACCCTTGAGGAAAGTTCCACCTCTATATTTGCAGCTACATAATTGCTTTGAAACTGTACCTCAGGAGATGTCATCTCTACTGTGGAATTTGTCAAAATTAGCATTGGAACATATTTTACCAGACAAGGTTTTTAACCGTTAAAGGTACATGCAAATAATCAGAGTCATAAAAATAGCCCCTTAAAAAAGCAAAGCCATTTGTTACAGAAATATCTCACTTTAATAATTCACTAATAATGTAATTTCTGGTAATCAGTATTGACATAAATTAATATTTTGCAAGTGTAATACGCGAAGGCTCAGGGGTACTGTACGTCTGTAAAAAGAGATGGTTGAGAAACTTGTGACAGTCTACGGTCAGCCTTGCCACTAGCATTTTCGCATAAGGTTTGCTTTTATTGTGTAACTAGCGTCATTTGATTTGCTTTTCAATCTCAACTGTTGTTTATATATCAACCTTAAAACCCCTAGCGTGGCACCACTGCATTTGGTTGGGGGTACATGGTCCCTGTTTTTCCTGACAAGACGTTTTTGGGGTTTACGTGTCCAGCTTTGGCGCATGTAGGGCGTTACTTGATGTATCTCTTGTCCACTTTGTTGTAAGCTTATTGTCACAATTAAAACATATCTTGGACCTGGCTGACTAATGCGCCCATGCCTCAACCTTAGAGTGTGTTTGGTTGTGTAGTGAAGACAAAATGTTAAAATTAGAAGACAGCATGTCACCTACACAACTAATGATAGAACCACAATACATTTTTCCATACCTGGAAGAAGTTCCAAAAGCTGTAATAATAGCATCTCTCAGACCAATCATATATCTGATAGGGTTCTTACGCACTGCGATCAAATACAGCAATGGTATAATGATGAGTGCATGGATAAATAAACCAGCTATCACTGTCGCCATGTACAATCCCACCATATTTAGAGACTCAATGATGTCGTCCATCGCCACTACTTTTGCTGCTATTAAACTGCAAATACCAATCGGTGAAAACCTGGTGACAAAGACACATTCAACAATTTATTACACTTCACTTATGTTGAACACACTCACTTGAAAATTGTAATTTTTGTGGCAAACAGACAGTGTTTTGAATCCTATACACCATTGTAAAAGGTAAAGTCTGCATACGAGCCAAGTGGCCCATCTGGCTGGAGCTTATCCTGGTTTCAGTAGCATGAAGTGACTGGGAGTATTTCTACCCCTCTCTGGATGGGATGCTAGTCCATCACAGGGTTACAGCCCAGCATTAAATTCGCCGGTACCCATTTATACACATGGGTGGGGAGAGGCACTGTGAGAGTAACGTGCCTTGCCCAAGAACACAACACAATATCCCCCACCAGGGCTCGAACCCGGACCACTCGATCCGGAGTAAAGTGAACTGACCATGAAGCCACTGGGCCCTACTACACAACACAAAAGATGAAATAAGTCAGACCTTGACCAAAAGACTTACCACATAACTAGAGTCACCATCTTCATGATCACTTCATTCAGAGCTTCAAAGAAAGCTTTGAGAGGCATTCCTCGCTCACCTGTTCTTCCCAAAACAATTCCAAACACAATGGAAAACACCACAAGCCCCAATACATTAATAGAACCTTTAGGGTCAACTTGCAGTCCATTAGGGACAGTTTCAGAGCCTTTCCTCACTACCTCTTTCTTTAATATCGTGTTCGTTGTTCCATTTGTCCCGTTCATTGACACATTGACGTATTTAAATTCTCCATCATCAGTGGTGTATTTGGTTCTTTTCTGTAAGATAAATTTTACCAAACTGAGGCAAATGCACAAACATGGGTTCACGATAATTTACTTCATTTCCTTATATTAAGTTTTGTTGGTTGAGAACTATGGATCACTGTTGACAAGATGGTAGACCACAGGTGAAAGTCTGGGGGTACTTCCATAGAACATTTTGAAAATAACCCCTAAGAAGTACCAAGGTACCATTTTGTGGGCGTGGCTAGACTTTTTTCCCCTCCCAAAGAGGTACAATAACGGTCAACACGATTTAACTGATATCTACTGACTTTTTCTCAGTCATTATACCCTAAAGGTACTGCTAAAGCTCCTGCTGTGGAACGTTTGAGGCTAAACCCCTAAGAGGTACCAAACTTTTATTTTAACCACTATACAAGGTACAATGAGTACCCCATCCCATCCGGGAGTCCCCCGCCCCCCCTGGGTGAAAACAACATGTCAATAATGTACCACATATGATTTTGCTCTGAATTTTCTCTGATATGCCAGTAAATTTCCTGACAGGTGTTGCTGTTAAGACTAATTACAAGTGAAGATTTTCCTTTGATCTACACTTTTAACAACCATAGAAATTGGCTTGAAATTGACACCACAAAAATAAATGAAGCCACACACTTTACTTATCCTAGTTGGGTTTTGAACATTTTGTTACATCTGATAAGACTGTGGACGACTGTGTTAATTTTCTAATTACCTGTTGAAAGGTTGCTGCAACAATGTTGCTTGGAAAACAGCTCCTGATAAAAGAAAATTTGTTAGGTAAAAAATTATATCTTGACGTGTTTATTAACAAAATACAATTGACATAATGAAATACCACATATACCTGAAGATGCCTCATGAGCATATTTTCCTATGTATTTACGCTTTTTTCAGCAAAAAAATGCATCTTTATTGGTTTGCTTATATTTGGATCATATCGTTTCAGCTTAATGCTGGCCTGCCAATAAGCCCCCCTTTCTATCAAGTGCTCCCCTCAAAGGCTGTTTTTGTAATCTAGGCACTCTATTCAAATTAAGTTCCATTAAAGACAGGGACATAAAATAGAATCATAAGCATATATTATAAAGTCTGCTTTCTCATCTGAACATAATTTTAAACATTATGACTCTCAGAGCTCCTATTATTACAGTTCTTGAGTTCTTATTTAAACATTGTTTAACATTCAGATGTACATGATTAAAGAGACATAAGCACTCCGTCCCTTAGAAGTGCCCCCTCCTCTCCAATAAGCTCCTTTCCTTGAGTAACCTGGACTGTAAACTGCTAGGAAAGTCAGAAAATTGCAAATTATGACATTGATGATGTCGGACTAATTAATTTGTTACTGATTCTCAGATTACAGAATTATTGCCATTTTTATTGAGGTTTTAAAAATAATTTTTGACCATAATTTAGTATCTGATAATTTAATAAAAAAAATTTGACAAGTAAAATAGAACAGATGTGCTAATAATTATTTACAGTTTTGGGTTCAACCGAAGTGGAACCCTGAAGTGCAACGAGACACTAGCCTGCCGGAGGAAGTAGTTTTATTGCCAACAGAAAGAAGATAAGACTTCTGGCACGAGCTGATTGAGTAAGAAAGGTTTCCGGTCAGATCGTTCGTTCCCAGTCAGATCGTAACACAAACAAGTTAGAAAGTTCCACTAATAAATAGCAGATCAAAGATTCTTCGTCTGTTCTCATTTATCGATTTATCGGAATACTGACCTACCACAGCTTCAAAATATTTACCATTTCCACAACCAAATATGATCCGTCAAAATAATAGCTAGAAATTTCACGAATATATAGGCCTAATTCTGGTAAGAGTAACCATTAAAATGCATGGTTCAAATGCATACAATGATTTCGAACACTTTTTAAAATTCTCGTCGCGCGCCCACAGAATTCGAAATCGACGACGTTTCCCGATGTTTACGTTTGCAAAAGCACGAACGTGATCTAAATTTTGTTAAGACTTCAAAATTACATGAATACAGTTTGATTTAGAGTTAACCTTTGTAAGATCTCTGGGCAATGTGAGAGACACTCGACCTTTTGCAAACAAAACACGCAGATTGTACAGAATGGAACATCGAGAAAACAAACATAGCACGATAAGGAACTCGAAACAAATATACGGTAGGCCGTCTTACACCTGACTCAAACGCAAGGTGAGGATTTAGCCACAGGAAATCTTCTGTAACAATCAATCAGATTATTCAATAAGTAATAATGAAAAAAATCAAGTACGCAAGCTTAGTATTTATTTTAGCGTACCTGATGAGATCTAAGAAAGCATCCAGTGTTCGAATCCGCTCCACGTCTTTCTTTTCCTTCTCCACCTTGGTGTCTCCGGGTTGAATGCTTACAACCAAGACGATTCCAAGAATGACAGCCAAGATGGTAGTCGATATGTAATATATAAGTGCCCTTCTCCCAACACGCCCGGTGGCTTTTGCATCCAGAGAAGCTAAAGCGCAAATGAGGCTGGCCACGATCAGTGGCAAGATGAGCATTTTGAGCATGTTCATGAACAACTCGCCTGCAAATCCAATCAACATGATCACAGTTTTCTTGTCTTCCATGTCATCGATCTTATTTACAGGGTCGTTCACGAGAGCTCCGATGACGAAGCCGATCACAACACCGATGACGATGAGTACAAGCAACAAGTTACTGCGTAGACGCCGCATGAATCCTGAACAACAACGACCACATTTGTTCCCTCCGTCAGAAAAGCGACCGCGACCTCTGCCTTTCGCCATTATCCTCGCTGTAAAAGCTCTCAAAGGCCTTTTAATTCCTTCCTTAAGCTGATTCTTTCAGAATCTTTCTTGAAGCGTTCAAAATTGAAACAGAAAACACCGAAAGTGGTTTACAAATCTCCTATCTTACGATTTTTGATTGGACAAAACCCAAACAAAACTTTTGAGCAGGTCACGTGTTTGCTTTCAAGGAAACAGCTATTTGTTCAGTAAACGTGTTCTGGTAAAGTGCGATTGCGGTTTCTCGTACTGTTTCCTGTATTTGTTTGTGTGAGATCAAACCAGTTCGAAGTAAGCCTGTGTGTAGAAGTTTTCTACTTCCTCAACTGTTTCAGGTGGCTTCAGTTTCATATTTCCCTTTTCCGCCTTCGCTTATGATTATGAATTTTCAGAATTTTGAACTGAGGTCCCCATTCAGGGGGGTCTGAGTATCCATATCCCATTAATTTGTGTCCTAAATATGTCCCGTATCGCGTTAATTCCAATTGCAAAAATGAATGATTTTTGTGCTTTATATCTCGTTTTATCTGGTATAATATGCCATACACCATTAATTTTTCCCCCAATTATTCTGTATTGTGTTAACTTTCTACCTAAAAAGTATCCCTAATAGGGGTCTGTGACTGCCGTCCCTTCTCCCCACCCACATTTAGCGGGGGCTAAGTGAAAGCGGAAACCAGCCGTGAATATGTCCAACTAACTCTTGACCTCTGCCTTTAGCCATATTATCCCCGCTACAAAAGCCCTAAACGGTCTTTTAATTCCTTCTTGAAGTACCTTCAAACACTAAAAGTGGTTCTTACGATTTTTGATTGGACAAAGCCCAAACAAAATTTTCGAGCAGGTCACTTGTTTGCTTTTAAGGAAACTGCTGTTTGCTCAGTCAACGTGTTCTGTGTAACCTATTTTACCTACGGTCACGATTGCGGTTTTCATGGGTTTCTCAAATACCGGTATCTATTTGTGTAAGATCAAACCCGTTGGAAGTAAGCCTGTGAGTAGATGTTCTCTATTTCCTCAACTGCTTCAGATCGCTTTAGCTCCTATTTCCCTTTTCCACGTGCGTCTAATTTTCAGAATTTAGAAAATGCGGTCTCATTCCGGGGGGGTCTGAGTATTCATATCCCGTTAATTTTTGGCCTAAATATCCTAGATTCCTTTAATTCCAATTGCGAAAATTAACGATTTTCCTACTCTACATCCTGTTTTATCTGATCCAAATATCTCATATCCCATTGATTTCCCCCCCAAATAACCTGTATCCCGTTAATTTTTACCTAAACGTCCCATATCCCGATAGGGCCTCGAAGTCGTGGTAGTAGCGGGGATGTCCCGAACTTCCCTCCTTTCTCCCAACCCAAATTTTAGCTATATAGAAAGCAGGGTGAAGCCGAAACCAAGATATGAAGATGTCCGAGGAACTCTTGATCATTTTATAGCAACCCAAAAAACCGCTAAAATTCACTGTCTCCGAGCGAACGAAATAGAAATGGAAAGCTGCCAAAAAGCATGCTTTGACTTGCAAATGTTTTTGTTCAGCAATAGGAGAACAAATGTAAATTGGGCATATTTACGTTTTTGTGTAAACTAAGGATTGTTCACACGTTTTTGTTTGAGCAAGATCTAGCGGAGTCAAAATCCGTGAGAAAAGCCTCAAACTAGTCAAATCAGCCCATCGACCGATTAAAGAGGTCTACCCACCACCCCTCCCCTAGAGCTCTGCCTTGCTCCCCCATCCCACCCCGTTCTCTTTATCTGCATTCAATACAACTTAATGTTTTTTGAGTAATACACTTTCGAACATAATCGAAAAAGGAAGATGTACCTTGGTATATTATTTCAAAAAAGGAAGCAGAATCATAGGATCCCAGGCCAAGAGTAATGGCTTCCTTCCAGAACACGTTAGCTTGAGAACGCAGACGTATTTCCGGCTGTCACTCAGTACCTTTCTGTAGATTAAAGTGGAGCCAAAAAAGAAAACAACAGTGTAAAAAGTAAGGCTCTTTTTCCGTCTTCTTGTATCTTTTATTCTGAAAAACGTAAATTAAAAAGTAAAAACAAAAAAAGACTCGCCAAATGGTGATGATTTCTTGATTTCTTGGCAGAAAAATATCCATTTTTGTTGGATTTTGCACCACGTGACCGGACCTCTCAACTGCACCTGGGGTGATGAGTGGCGCCAACCTCTCGTCCCCAGGGTTTTTGTAAATCGTCGAGCAGAACTTCTAGAGATATGGTTTGTTTTTCACACCTTGTGCTTTGGTACTTGAAGGTAAAGAGGAAAGTTACCGTTCGCATTCACTGCACTTCTAAAGACAGTTTCTAAACTAAAAGTGATGCAAATTTTCTATTCCTGTATTTTTTTTCCCAAGAAAAGTTGGAAATAATGAAGAAAATAGAGCAGGGTGTTCGCCATACCTTTTAGGGATTAAAAATGCGTGTTCCTCACTTCCCATCGGCCTGCGTGTTCGCTAAAGTAATAACAGAGAGAGTGCTGGAGCGGAGACAAGAAAACGCGCGTGACTTCGCGCAAGTGCGGAGTCACGCTTATTATCCCATAAGGCTTGCGTACGCTCTACTGCTTATTTTCATTTTTTATTTTTTTTAATTTCAAATTTCACTACCAGGTTTGGCTGTGGAAGGGGTTATTATTTTGTTTTTTCGGTAGTGCTCGTGACAGGAAAACCCTCTGAAACAAACCTTAGTGGCTCTTCTTACTGAACTTGGAGATTTACATGTACGGTGTAGCTCCAGAATAGAACCTATCTTACCTTGGAAACGTCTCTTTAAACAATTATCACACAACGAAAAGAGCCAAGGAAACGTTACATTTTATTTTCACTGACATTATTTTCTACAAAACAAAAATTAAGAGAGAACTGGTTACAATTGATACTTTTTTACAAGACAACTCATACTGAAATTTGTTTAAGAGCATCGAACAATCCGTGATTTCTTCACTAGAGAAACTTTTTGCTATAGAAAGAAAAAACAGGGATATTCTTTGCAATGAAAGCGTTTTCGTTGATTATTCGATTGAAAACAACTTCACAAATGTGCAGGTAAATACCGGAAAAAAACATTTTACTTAGCTATGTAACAAGTCGACTAGTGACTAGTCGACTTGGACACGTGACTAGTCGACTTGGACTCGTGACTAGTCGACTTGGACACGTAACTAGTCGACTTGGACACGTGGCTAGTCGACTTCAACACGTGACTAGTCGACTTGGACATGTCGCTAGTTGAGAAAGCCAAGCTCTAATCTGAAAACGCTTCAAAAAGTCATGTAAACCACGCGAATGGGAATTTGCCTTACACCTGATTGGACGAGAAAGCTGAGGCTCTCATTTGATTGGTTAACGCGCGTTACACGACGTTTTCAACCCCACCAAAAAGCTTTCACTTGTTGTAATAATGATTCGTCCTTGTCGCTGCCTATCTGATTCACGACTTCAATAAAATAAATAGCTGTCTTACAGTAAACTGGTAGTGTGTTAGGAGCAGTTTAAAATTCTCGGTCTCCAATAAAAAATAGCAGTCTCTCTTACAGCTGCTATTTGGGTTGTTATGCAAAGATTCTCGAGCTGAAGGATTGCGTTACAAACTAGAGGAAGACATTGCGTGACAAACCAGACATCACACATTGAAGAAGCACAGCGTGATGAACCAGAGAAGAACCTTTGCATGACAAACTAAACAATGGTTATAAAGATGGTGATAGAATCTCATAAAAGTTGAAAGCTTTGGTTTTGTATTAAATACATCTAATTACAAAAGATTGCTGCCATTATAAAACATAAGTCAGCTTGGCCACATGATTCACTTACAGAGAAAAAGATTATATGTATGTTACATTTAATACTGAGTCTGTTCATGTGCCATTAGACATGTCTTCCATCTCTTCATCAACATTATCATTCTGTTTGCTCCTGCCAGGTACCTGTCCTGTTTTTAATAACATCTCTAGTCTTTGTACCTCATCCAGGGAGCGAGCGTTTGCAATGGCAGCCTAGAGATAAAGAATAATAACATCATACTCCATTCACACCAACTAAACTAGTTTGACTAAATAGGTTTAGGTTTTTCCAATTTGTTGATGACGTTTTGAAGTCATTTTGAGAAGACAAACCTCAAACCATATATTTATCAAACAGGTTTTTACCTGGGTAAGTTGTGGGGTGTGCACGGAATGAGCACTGAAGTAAGTATTAACCTTGTTTAGTTAAAGCACTTTTAAACATGTTTAACATGTCGGTGTAGGATGAATAACAAAACTATTTGTACTTGTCAAATTAGCACCTCATTTAACTACAACAACACTCAACCTGGCAGGTCTTTGTACATATATCAAACACTCGAGACAGTGTTTCATCTGCTATCCAAACACCTCGAATTTCGTCAAAAATACTCCGCTGCGCATCGTATTTTCAAGTCTCTTCTCGGTGTTTGGATATCCTGATGAAACACTGTCTCTCGTGTTTGATATATTACATGCAAAGTACACCCATTTACAAATCACACTATCCCAAAGAGTTTACCTTAATTGCGGCAATGTCCCTTGTGGGTGGTGGGAGAGGTTTACTTGGTAGTGGTCTTGAGGCAGCTGGTGGTTCTCCAGGGACGAACCTATATAGGCATATTGGCAAATAGCAAGTCATTTACAAGTTCTCTACAAACTAAAGATTTCAATTTGTGGCTCAAAAAAATTAACTGTATTTTCTTGTGTATTGAGATCATTCACTTTGGGAGAGTAATGATCTTGAGTCAAAATAAGTTGTCCATTCATACTTTGACCCTAAACTTACATTTTAAATGGAACCATGTTAAAAAAATGTTCTCATAAATCAACGAATGAATTTTCTTGAAGAGAATGATTTTGCAAAAGAAAACTACCAATTATACAAAATCTTATAAAACTGAAAAATACCAACTGAACAATAACTCTTCTAGCAAACTTACTACTGCAACCAAGATAGTCACGCAAAACAGACAGCGTTAGGCTGAGAGCATGATGGCCTTATGTGCCCACTGGCACAATGAGAAGAGATGATACACAACTCACGTTTTTGGTTTTCTTCCCTTGTGACCACCTTCTCCTCTTTTGCCACTAAACATTTTCTTTGCAGCTTCTCTTTCCTGGAAATCAAAATCAAAGATGTAACATTCAGCAGAATTTCAACCAAACTAGAACCATATGAAAGGGCCATTTATCATTGGGTCAAATATACCACTGTTGACTTCTTCCACAAGTTCAGCATGAAGGGTATAGAGGGTAAAGGTTACTGTGCCAAGACTAAAGATTACACTCCCAAGGGCAAGCTAGGCAACTTTCCTTGTACTACATAGTCTTGAAGTGGGCAGGATTTTATTAGAAGAAGCTACTTTGTCATAATTATTATAAACCTAGCTCAGAGCAAAGTGCAAAGGACTACTGTAATAGTGACTTAAATCTCTACAAACTGAAGTTTTAATCATGTGAATATGATTTCAGCATCTACTCTAGCAAGTTAATTTTCTTTTACATAAGCAAAAGGGGCAACAGCTACTTCTTACCCTTTGCTTGATCCTCTGAAAGTCCAACACTCTTAATTGTGGCAATTTGTGGATAACGTATAATCTGTAGTGAGGTTTGTTGGTCACTGGATTTCGAAGCAAACTGCGAAAAAGACCCAGAAATGAACATCAATAATCCATATAGCAGAGAAGAACAAATGCAATAGATCAAAACGCACAAGCCTAACACTTAGAGAAGTGTCTTCATTAGTTATTTTCAATTTATTTTTTATAATTTGCGTGGAAATGAAAACAATCTATACACTTACCCCTCTTACAGCAAATATGAACAAAACTATTACCAAATGTACCAAATAATATACTGATGTTATTATCACTATCATTATCATTAGATAATTGTTTTAACATAAGCAAAGGGCTGATCGATCCAACATACAACATTCACATAACCAAATTAAATTATCCTAAGCATGCAGGGTATGAAGACATAGAAACAGAGGTTTCATTCATGAAATGAAAAATGTATGCATAGTGTTACCTAAGATATTGAAGAGTCTTGACAGACTTCAGTGGATCCAGTTCTTTCTAGAAATCCAAATATTGACAAAAAGACTGTGATGAAATATGATAAAATTGCCTTCACATACAAACAATAGGACATTATTTACTACCAACTGTATCTTTAGAGCGCATTTCTTTGGGATGATTTGGATCAGGATCTATGATGCAGAATAACTTGGATCATGGTGCATCAAAGCAACCACTCTGGACAAGGATATTACCCAAGTGATCTGAAGTCATTGATCCTAATTTGAATCATCTCAAAGAAATTCACCCTAGTGAATCTCACTTAACCCAACATTCATGAAACATAGAATCAAGTTGTAGAAAGAACCAACATACCAATTCCTGCATGTTGTTTGAAGTCATAACAATTGTCTCTAAGTGTGGTAGGCTTTCTTCCAACTTCTCAGCTATACGACTGAAAGAAACAGTTAATTTTGAGTGTTAGGTGGAAAAATATATGATAGTAACAATAATAAGAATACATTATCCAAAGAATACAGAACAGAAGCAGTCTATGCAGCATTAAGTAAATACATGCAAGAAGGAAATAAAAAAAATCAGAACTAATTGGAGTGACAATCACTGTATAAAACTAATACAAACACCTTCATCAAATAACTGTAAATGTGTAGTAAGCTAATATAGCATTAAGCTACAAAATATTGCACATTTGCATTTTCTACTTGAACATCAAATAGGTTCAGCAATGAGCTACTTTATAGTCAAGGATGTTTCCCAGGAATCTGGGTGACGCCATATTCCAAAGACACATGCACAGTACCCACATACCTCCATCCTTTGACGGTCCTTTCCACTTACCAATTTTCAATGAGATATATATTTAAAAATGTTAGATACTGCATTACAGCATTGCTCAACATTTGTTGGCATGCAATACATGTAGTTATGTTTAAAAGTTCAATAACACTAATAAGTTGTATAAGGTGAGTATTTATTTTTTAGGCTAGAATCTCAAAGACTTCCAAACGCTTTCAAGGACATTTATCTAACTTTTAAAGGACACAATAAATATTGTATAGTCTATGTCACACACTACAAAATTATTGTTAATGTAACACCACATGGAAATGCCTGCAGTGTGCCCAGTAAAATTGTCAGAAGACTTAAATTCATCATTCACATAAATAAGGCAAACAGAACACTACTTTCAAACGTTAAGCAAATATAATTATTTAACAAAAAACTTTGAATCATCACCTTTTAAAACACACACCGAAAGGACTGCAATGTCTTATACATGTACATTAAATGATTGGATACTGAGCCCACATATAAATGAATAGAGCGTTATCAAGGGATGTTTGAAAACAATAACAAAATATTAGTTTCAGAACCATGTAATGCGTCTGTTTATGCTGGAAACCAACATACCATATCCTGTTGTTGTTCAAAAGCAAACTCTTAAGTCTCTTGAGTAATGGAAATCCTTCCAGTTTGCGGATATCATTTTCCGACATATCAATAGTATCAAATTGATCCTGAAAACAAAGAGAATGCCTTTGTTACTCTACAATAGAAATAAACTAATAACACTTATGGGATTGTACATACATGTTAGCTGTAACTATAGCTTCAACTTAAGCAAGGGGTACAATTGCATGTAGGATGTCACTGGCCCAAGAAAGCAGGAGCTTTTCTTAGTTTCTGAAGCAAGACATAACTAATATTTAATACACTGTACACTGTACCCTGCCCACCCACTGAATGTGATGCTCCTCCATCACAGGTTACACTGTAGATCCCACAGCATTTTAAATTTTGTTTGATTTTCTTCAGAGTTCAATTTACTATCTATCTATTCTACTGGGCAGAGAGAGGTACTGTGACAATCAAGTGTTCTGTAGGAGAACACAATGCAGTGAGCCCTTACGAAGACTTCAACTTGGACTGTGCTATTTAGACTCCAGTGCATTCACCCACTGCAAATCTGACACACAAAGAGTTCCAGATTAAGTTTTGAAATCTCTCTGGGAACTAAACTTTCTGAAGGGATCACTTTGATTTGACCAATTAAAGTCTAATCAAATGTAACAGTACTTAAGCTGACACAGGAACTTGCCATGGATAAGAACTCTGTGACAACTCTGTTTCTAAATTTGAGTGTAAATGGTGAAATCTGCCTACCAGCATACGGTACCCACAAAAGCTTTTCAGTTTTCAACATATTTAAACTTCCTACTGGGGGAAGGGGTTTTGTGTCACATTGCAGAACTGTCGCCTATTAGTTATGAAGCAGTTGTCAGACCTTCTCATAAACAATAACAACCTCATTAAGACTTGTTACAGGTTTTCAGCCATGTTTCTGGTCAAATTATATGCCCACAGGATCTCAAAAAGCCATATTTATGGCACATTTTACATACGCAACAACCCAGGATATATTTGTTACCTCTACATATTAAGTACATACCAAGGTTGCTCCAAGGTTTTCAATTACTGGAATTTTATAACCTGCAATAAACAAGAAAAGATGCGATTTATAAGCACCATAACTCTCCACATCAGACTGATCAACCCATTGTGATCTGAAAATACTCCCAGCAACATGAAACTTCACTGATCAGCTTCAGTTCTTGAAGCTTAGGGAATTATTTGATAACCCAGGGTGCATTTTATGTAGGTTATACCAAAGGTAGCTGGAGGTTTCACACCCACTGAGTTAGCACCCACATTGACTCAACTCAATCGAGTTTGCTCCCATGTACTATACAACTTCTATGTCTTGAATTACTCTATATCCTGCTTTTATAATGACAGAATATCAAACTATCTATGTGAATGGATGTTGATTAGGATGTTCATGTCAAGCATGTGTTGTAATCAGTCATCCACTGATTCGCTTTGACTTTCTCACACTTGCAAACGGAGCAAACATGAAACCATAATCTTACTTTTTTATTTGCACTTATAATAAAAAAAAGTTTTTAAGGCAATTCATACTTTCAGGTGTAAAAGCTACAGTCTAACACAAAATAGAAAGTTTGTAACAAGTTTAGGTGAGTGTGAACTTGGTAGGTGCGAACTTGATTGGGTGCGAAACAGGTTAGGTAGCATTCAAAACAAAGATCTTGTGCGTGGCAAATGTAGTTTGGCAAGAGGGTCACAAGCAGTGGCATTTTAGGCTTGTAATTATTGCTTATGCTTGTTAGCATACATTGTGAACTGCCATATAATCTAATCTTTTCACAAAAATGAAAATACACATTCATTAACTAAACCACATATAATTTTGAAGACTTGTGGATTATGTGGTTCAGACTTTAAATTACACAGGCATTGGCTGTTTGGTGTAGAGTTTAAAAACTTTGACCTAATCTCTGCAGGGAAAATTATTGAAATGCACACATGCACCGGCTGGCATGACAAATGTAGTTTTCCTTCAAATCTCCACACAGTATTTCGCGTACAACCCAATCTCCCAATAATTGGATACTTTTGTTTCCAAAATTCCAGTTTATCATGTTGACGAGTGAAAGAAACCTCACTTACCACGCAAATCAAGTTCCCTGTCTCGCAAAGCGTTTGTGTACTGAGGGCTTTGTAGAATAAGATCTGCAGTTAACTTCATTTTTTCGACTAGTTTCCACCGTCAAAACTCCTTAAAACTATGTTAAGAGGTTCCACAATATCCTTCTAAACTAATGTTACAATCTACGCAAGACTTCAGTTGGAGAATTCAACAGATAAACAGCTTTCTTTCTGTAAACTTTTCTCATCACCTGAAAGCCGCCATCTTTGTTCGACACGTGAACGTTGCTCGCCCCAGTCTTTACCATTTTGCACGTCAATAACGCCTGGCGGTTTTTTCGTTTTGCGGAAGGCGGTTTTTCAAAATGACAGCACGTTTTGATTACGTTCCCGTCGTGGAAGTTTCAGCAGACAATTTCTCAGAGGTATGGCCTTCGATTGTCCGTGCAATAAAGAAATCTACCTTCGTGGCGGTCGATACGGTAGGTTCCTCATGCAAGTAGCCTTCTTAAGGCCCCACTGTCTTCTTGAATGTTTGCACCACTTGATAAACATGCCTTTAATTTTCCTCTGTAGGAAATGAGTGGTATTGGAGACAGAAAGAATCTTATGGCGCAGTGAGTTTTAAATAAGTCCAATAACGTTTTACACAGGACCTAGCTATTATAGCCTGAATATTACATGGAGAATTATTCACCTCCCGCAGGACGTAACGTGTCGATCAAAGTCGATCATCGAAAACGTAGTCGATAAGTCGATAGTACTCGATATTTGTCGATAACTGTCAATCGACAAGTTTAATTTGTCGATAAAAGTCGATCATCACAAGATTTTCAACTGATTATCGATTTTATCGACAAAAATGCAGACACATTTTTCAATCGGCCACGAAATTATAGAAGTGTGTAAAGAGTTCTACAGTAAATCCGTATGGCAATAAAGTTGAATAAACAACTAATTGGTCGATCAAAGTCGATAATCACAAGAAATCGTGTGATTGATTTTTATCGATTTCCGATATTTGTCGATTGATTAGTATCGAATTCGATCGACAACGATCGATTTTTATCGACTATCAAAATTATCGACATGTTACGTCCTGCCTCCCGGTGTACATTCTGAATCACAGATGTCTCTTGAGTGTGTACATGAAATATGTCTCTTTAAAAAAGGCTTTAAAGTTTAAATGATACAGAGTAATTTGATTTAGAAACTGGATAATGTGACCATACAAGCATACATTTAGCTCGATCTGTTAGATCATCTCAATCTGTTAGATCATTCTTTATGCCTCTTTCACCAGCTCAGATATCAAATGTAAATTTAAAAAATAATAATTCTATTGCTAAGTCCTGTAAGTTACGAAAACAATAGAAAAGGCATAAAATGATATGCAAATGTTACAATTTGTCAGGCAAGTTACCTGAAAAATTGCGAGTGTTTACTGCTGATTTATCAGGAATTTTTGCAACTGGGATGTTGGTATCTGAGAACAATGTTAAAGAACCAGTATCCTTACATTAATTTTGCTTTTGACCCATGTCTTGGGAACACATGCGCATTGGAGGTTGACTGCCACAAAACATACATGTTCATGAACATTCATGATGCATTCATGACACCCACTAAATGTAGTAAATAGATTATTGATTGACAACCTGTCCCTCAGATTTCTGGAAGATCGATATAAATACATGCGGGAAGTGGCACAATCCAGAGCTATACTTTCCCTTGGCATTTCATGTTTCAAGTTGAAGAAAACAAAGGCTGGTAATGACACAAAGAACAAAGAATCAGAAGGAAGGCTAAACATCAGGGTCAAGACTTACAACATCGTTGTCCTCTGTACAGAAAATTTTGTTGTCGAACCAGCATCGTTAACGTTTTTGGTTGGACACGGCTTTGACTTTAACAAACAGTATGCTAAAGGAGTTCCCTATACAAGGGGAGATGATAAGGTAGGTACATGTAACACTTGTGTGTTTTAAAGTCATATAGGTTTTTATTGCATGTCATGATGGATTCAGAAAGCATTGGGCTCATGCAAGAAATATTTTGCTATATGAAGCATGGGCTATATTTTCTAATTTGTTACTGACTGCCCATATGGGCCTCTTACAGAATTATTTCCTTTTGTGATTGGAGTTTCAAAAATAATTTGTGACCATTGTGCAGTTGCAGAAAATATCCATACTCTCCCCACAGAGGGGATTGGAATTTCCTGGCACGGGAGGGGGGGGGTCTGTAAGATGAAAACATTTTACATTCCTTTAAAAAGGAATGTATCAAGTTTAATTAAAAGTTTCCAGAACGGTGGAGGGGAGGGGGGTCTTGGAAAAGTCCCTTCTGAGGGGGACATATAGATACTTTCTGGAACTACACAATACGTTCATCTGCTTTTTCTAGGAACCTTCTAAATTGGCATCCCAGCACTCTGTACGGAATCTCTTCAATGAACTAATCATGGCCAACAAGCCACTTGTACTTCACAATGGATTCTTAGATTTGGTTTTCTTGTAAGAGAACTTCTACAGCAAGTTACCTGACAAATTGCAAGTATTCACTGCTGATTTATCAGAAATGTTTCCAGCTGGGATATTTGATACCAAGTTTGTCTCTGAGAACAGTGTCAGAGAACCAGCATCATTCCTGCTTTATCTATTTAAAAAGTGGTGAGTTTATAAAATTACATTTTGCAGTAACACTGTCACTGGATGTTTATGGTGGCATGCATGACAACACACAATATTTCCTTTCAACTGGAGAGCAAACATTGTGTGACACAATGCACCTGATATGACAGTGGTCATGCAATATCAGCATAATGTGATGCTGGTCATGCAGTCTTCTTCACAACAGCAAGCCAAGATTGAGTTAGTAGAATGCCTCTGTTAGAGGTTGCTACTAAGTTTTGGGAGGAAGTCTTGTAATAGCAACAAAGTACCTTCTGAATCTTAGGGGTGGACCATGTGACCTTCGAGAGGGTGTGTGGGTGATTTGGTACAGGCACTGTTTTTTAACCCTTTCATGCACAAGGAAATTTTTTTCTTGGGACATGTATGCATGGCATTTTTCCTTCATGTAACATGCTATCTCTTGGCTCTCTTAGGGTGCATGATTTTTTTTTAGAGAGGGGGGAGGGCGGCAGTGGTCGTTTACATGAAATTTTGGCACAAGTATGTTTGCAGGATATTTTTTTCAAAATCACCCACTCACCCTCGAGAGTGAAATAGTCCACCCCTTATTTGAACCAATCAGAAGATTGTATGCACACTTGTCTCAGAGAGGGAATATTTACTGGACTGTATAAGCAGGCAGTGAGTGAGGAAGGTCCAGAAGTCATGGACAGATCATAATTTAGTGTTCAGCTCATGGCAAACTGTAATAAGTTAGTCAAAGATTAGATTACAAAAGAGCAGGTTACTAAATGTAAAATAGGCCACATGGTTGAGGAAAGTATCAAATTGGCTTCAGTTAATGTGTTTTGATAGTTCTTTTTTTGCAATTTCTTATTAACTGATAGAATTTTCTCCTTCATTTTAGCCAGCGAAACAATTTGCAACATCAAAAGCATGGACAAAAGCACGTCTGTTTGAAATTTCCAGAGAAGACCGCGCTTACAGGTTTCACTGAGGANCACACAATATTTCCTTTCAACTGGAGAGCAAACATTGTGTGACACAATGCACCTGATATGACAGTGGTCACGCAATATCAGCATAATGTGATGATGATCGTGCAGTCTTCTTCACAACAGCACGTCAAGATTGAGTTAGTAGAATGCCTCTGTTAGAGGTTGCTACTAAGTTTCAGGAGGAAGTCTTGTAATAACAACAAAGTACCTTCTGAATCTTAGGGGTGTACCATTTTACTTTCAAGGGGTGTGTGGGTGATTTGGTACAGGCACGTTTTTTTTTTAACCCTTTCATGCTCTAGTAAATTTTTTTTTTGTTTTTGAGATGTGTATTATTGGTATTTTTTCTTCATGTAACATGCTATCTTTTGGCTCTCTAAAGGTGCATGAATTTTTTTGGCACAAGTATGCTTGCAGGATATTTTTTCAAAATCACCCACCCACCCTCAAAAGTGAAATAGTCCACCCCTTATTTGAACCAATCAGATCATAATTTAGTGTACAGCTCATGGCAAACTGTAATAAGTTAGTCAAAGATTAGATTACAAAAAAGCAGGTTACTAAATGTAAAATAGGCCACATGGTTGAGGAAAGTATCAGTGGATCAGAAAGCGTTGAAATTGGCTTCAGTTAATGTGTTTTGATAGTTTTTTTTTTTTTGCAATTTCTTATTACCTGATAGAATTTTCTCCTTCATTTTAGCCAGCGAAACAATTTGCAACATCAAAAGCATGGACAAAAGCACGTCTGTTTGAAATTTCCAGAGAAGACCGCGCTTACAGGTTTCACTGAGGAACTGTATTGTGGATCGCACGATGAAAACGAGGCTGTTCATGCTGACGTCCATGTCTGTGAGAAATATGCGGTAAGCTTCAATTTCTATAGGTTCTTCTGGTGCCAATTCCCCTCACCATCGATTTTACGGAAGGACGTTCGTGAACGAAAAAAGAGGAGCATTTGGGAAGAAATGTAGCTGTGGGCTCGCCTTACTTGCTTAGTACACGATTAAATATTCAGCTAATATCTAAGGCGGATTTCTGAGAATCTTTACGGCTGCACGCTAAATCAGTTAACGAAGGTTTTGTCTGTGACCGTTGTGAATAGAAGCTTGTCATACAACCACAATAGCGATTCGGAGAGCAAAATCTGTTACAAAATGGTTATAGCTTACTTTAGCACCTTGCCGTCACCTAGATCCCTTCAGGCTGTCTCTTGATGTCAAAAATTCCAACAGAGAGAGCGTTCACGTCAACTTGAAAAAGATCAAGTTGAGATAAAGGTGAAAATTCCGATCCGCTTTAGCACACCAACCTGTGCAGTATACTATTATCCTGACAAAACTGTGGAGAAACGTCAATGTTAGGTCAAAGTTGGTTTGCGACCCCCTCCCAATATTCCACCGTCCAGAGGCTCGCCACTCAAAAGTGTAGTGCGCTATGGAACGGACAAATATTTTTTTGAACGGAGGTGGTGGGGGAGGGCATGGTTGGACAATTTCTTCTAAAAGAAATCCTGCACAGCAAAAGCTGCTGAAATAAAATCGTGCAAGGGGAGCCATGGTGAAGAAAAAATCGAGCTGTCCTGCGTTTGACATTTGCATAAGCTGTTGCCCACCAAATAAATCATGTACAACCTAACGGTGAGAAAAAAAAATTCATGCCCAGAAAATTGCCCACCCCCTTCCCCTCAAAAAATAATGGTCCTTCCCCAACTCAGCTGACTTGTACGCGGAAGGAGTGAGAGTCGGGTGCTAATTTTTTACGCTATCTACATTGTAATTATTTGCCAGTGCACAGGTTATTGTTTTAGGAATTTTAATCTGAAGCAGGGAACCTAGATGTCATCGTTTTGATCTGGAACTCATTGTGTGAATCTCTGCGGTCTGGTCAGATATTACTGAGATATCTCCGTTCTTATCAACCACAGGGTCTCGATGTTCCTGGATGCATGGGGGAGACTTAATTTCTAGCCTGCCATATAGTATAGGGTTTTTTGATATATCTTATAATCAACCACGCGAAATTTAATACCCTGCTATATGAAGGGTGAGTCAGTTCTTCCTCCCGAGGATCTATTTGAAAAAATTGATAATGTTCAACTGTAAGCGAAAATAGATGGCGTCATGTACTGTCTGCTTTACAAAGAAACACATCAAACTGTTTCCGGTTTCGTTTTGTTATATGGTTTTGTTCAGTGCCATTGGAAACTACTGCAATCAGTTGTGCTAATTCTCCGACTAACTGTTAATGAAGATCAGCATTTTGACAATTTTCGCGAAATTTAGTTCCTTTTAACTTTTTATTTTTGCCAAATCGCGAAATTTATGTCCCGCGAAATATACCCGTTCAATTTTCGCGAAATTAAGTTCACACGAAAATAAGTGACAATAAGGAACGGGAAAGATACGATAAAGGATCTGTTCTGTTCTTGGAAGGAAAGATTTGGAGCGGTGCCGGATTAGAGATCTTGTTCAGAAAACGATAGTCTGTGAAAATTGTGAAACATTAAGCAGAAATAGTCTGGAGTAGTGTTTCTCCCATCTTATTTCTTTTTTTTTTTTAACACATACCACTCTGGAATTCTATGGGAAGAACATTATTTAGAGTGAATTTCCTGACTCGATTATTCCTTCACAGGCTTATGGATTTTGTCCTCGTGAGAAAACCTGTCTTCTTTCTCACGACGTGGATGATGTTTTGGATCGTGAGTGGAAAATGAAAGAAGCGAAAAGGCAGAAGCGCAAAAGGAAACATCGAAGCTCTTCTGGTGAGAGACTGATCAGAAACTAAATTCTTCTCGTAATATCAGTATACAACTCAAGAAGACTTGAGGAGAAGTAAGAAAACAATCTTTTAAAGAGGAATTGTCTTGATATTTGAACAAATTTTCTCAACTAGTACTTTAGGAAAGGTATGGTGAGCATTTATGAGAATTTCTCTGTTGACTATGGGTTTAACGTCTACAAGTTAGCTTCTAATTGAAGTTTATGAAAATTTTGAAAATGTAGCAAAGCGATTTTCTAAAGCGCATGTAGATGAAACTGATTCAGGAATGCGGGCTCATCTTCACGAACAGCGCAGCGGGCTGTTAGTGGAGAGAAAATTAAATGACCTCTTTCCCTTTTCCTTCAAACAAGGTTTGTGTATGTACAGAAAGCGAGGTTAAACCTACATCACACAAGAATATTTTATTCCTTTACAGGTAACAACGCGCCCGATGCAAACTCAGAGTGTGACAATCATAATACGTCGACAACGGAAGTTCCCGAAGGTCTGGGCGCAAGTGATAACCATGATGATCACGTGACTCGACAACGTGATGTTCACGTGGCTCAGTTCAACAACGCCAAGACACGTGACTGCGGACACAGGGCGGGCTTTGATGCATTTATGACCGGCTACTGCATGGCAACCTATCTACTACAGCTTGGCAAGAAAACTGAGGAGAATGAACTCACCCTCTCCTCCCTGGTGGATGTTTCGAACAAGTTAAGCCTTACAAAGAAAGAGGTTCCATTACAGATCACACGAAGTCATTTTATTCGGCCGTCTGCCTCCCACATTGAAAAACTTAAGCGACTGAAGGAACAACTTGTGCCATACCCTGCGGATTCGTGAAAAACTGCGTCAAGTTTCTCTTCGTAATCCGACTCAATCTTTGCCAGTCTAAATGATCCTTATTTTTACGTTAGTTTACTATTATTTTAAGGTTTCATTTTCTTTGAAATTTACTTGTCACTGAAAGCATGACAGCTCTTTTTATGGCTGAATTTCTAAGTTGTAAAGCGTGGTGTTTAACATACAAACCCTTCTACAATAGCTCAATCGCGGGTGCTTTAAAACTGATTAATTAATAATAACAAACGTAGAGGTCTCTCAAAAGCAATTTAACGAAGTCACGGAAACCACTTCCGTTCATAGCGCCGTTAAAACTAAAAATAAAATTATGAATAAAATTATGGTGACTTTGGAACCATAGAACACTACATGAACCCGAATGTCAATTTTATTCTTGCAAATTCTCCTTTTTTAGCATGAAGCAGTTCTAATAATCCGTACTCTTAAACAAAACATCGAGGACTGGTCAGTTAATGCGAGTTTGCATAAATCGCATTTTTAGGGAGCAAAAGCTTAGCGTGAAAATATATCAACATTTGCGCTAAGAATGTTATTCCAAGATTGGAAAAATTGCGCGGAAATGCAAAGCGGCTAGTTATAAATTCGTGTTAGTTCTTCCGCTAAAATATAATCAAAATGTAATTAATTATTCAGGGAATATTTCTTGTTCTGGCCTCTTATTTTAAGGACAAGTTTTGTGAATCGTTAACGACTGTATGCGGAGTCAACGCAAGGGTGCTTCCTCGCGAAAGTACGAAAGCATGGGTATGCTGCCTTTGTAAAGAAGCTTTTCACAACACCAGCTTGAAATGGCTGTTTTTGCATTCGTGCCCTTGGAAATTTTCAATTATGCACGAAACAATGGCAGCCGACGTTTTTTTAATTAGCCTTTTTGTCTATTTCGGCATCGCACGACCATCATTTTAAATTAAATACTGCCCGCGGGTGGTTGCCATGGTGACGACAGCGGCACTGCAGGGGTTGGTCCAATCCGCTATAAACATTCATGACTTGGAATACATCGTGGGTTTGTAAGAGAAGTCATCGCATCGCTTTTGATGCCATTGACTTCTTAATGAGGTGTCAACCGGGGCGACCTAGCTGAAATGGTAGGTAAATGGAAAGCCAGTCTGTCTAAACAAATACGTAGTCGTTGGAAAACATCCCGAATTCGAGGTAAAATTGAGCACTAATGTCTTTCCGATTTGGAACGAACACAAATAGCTTTGATCCCGCGAACGAAAGCACTAACATCACATGCAGTGCTACTCGGACTTTAATTATCCGCGACGTTTTAAGTGCAATGTTATCTTGGAATTGGGAGTTAAGTAAAAGCTTTTACGCAACGCAAAGTAGAAATGTTTGGAAAATTATCGCTAAATTTCTGTCGCGTTTAAATTCGTGTTCACTCGAGTCGTGCTCGGATTCTAGAGAACATCTAACTGGTCAGAATTAAACCCTACCATTAGCATAATTCTTTCCTTATTTTTGAAGTGTAGCTTACTGATTTTTACACGATCTTTAATCTTGTTTAGTCAATTTTAAAAATGCAGTTTGGATATTTAAAAGCGGCTCCAACCCTCTGAAATTGCTATCTAAATTATCCGGTTTATACGAACGAAATACATACAAATTTCCGAATAAAAATTATAGGAAGCAATAATTACAGGTATTTTGTATGCATAGGGCCTGCTTTAACTGTCTGCACTTAGACAGAAAATATATTTAATATACAGAATTTAAATGTACCTTATGCATCGATATAAACGACAAAGATTATTTTCCTTTCTTATTATTATTTTGACGCCACGATTTAAAATTGTGCTGAAGAAAAGAAGCCTGTAAATTTCCTAGGAAAACATTAAGCTGCAAAATGAAAACATTTTCTATTAAAATCTCATGATAATTTGACGAGTACTGAAACCGGAGAAGAGAAACTGTCTGTCATGTTAACGTCTGTAATATTTTTAATCTGGAGACACCGGGGAGACACCATCTTGATAACTTAGAAACAGAGAGCTTTTAAACCGAACTTCGGAATTAATAATTAATGTTGTTATTAAAAAAGATCGATTAAAAGAGCATATTTAACATGCGAACCTTCGCTGGGAATTTAAGTGGTTTCCTAAACCTCCAGGGTTATAAAGCCTCTTTCTAATCTACTGTTACTAGATACTTTCAGGTGTGAAGTTAACAAGCTACTTAGAAATTCTTTTTGTCATCGGCTCACGTCTTAACTGCCATTCTTATCGGGTTGCTATAACACCCAGAACCTTCTGCCCTGCATGTGTTTAGAAAGAGTCACGTTCCCTTAGAAAAATTGTACAGTTGAACACCGCTATTTCGAACTCGCGGGGGAACGAAAAATTGTTCGAAATAGCGGGAGATTGAAATAGCCGATAGTAAAACGGGGAATTCGAAATAGCCGAGTTCGAATGAGCCGGGTCCAACTGTAGCTGTATCCGGAGGTAGACAAGGGAAGTGACAAAAACATAGCTGGAAAAGTCCCATTTCCTTTATATTTATGGACCAGCAGGATCTATCATAATTACGTTTTGTTTCAATCCAAATCAATGCGTGTCAGTATTCAACTTGCCAAAAAAAAATTGTCATTTCACTATAGTTTCTAGAGGGAAATGATTATAAAGCCCGGCAAGCATCAAAGAAGCAAACAAAGATGACAAGATTTATGTTGGAAGGTCCACGACTGTGCACAATCTTTTGTTTTGCGCTCATACACTATGCTTGAATTACGCAACCAAAACGTTTCTATTGGTTAGTTCCTCAGGACGGAGTAAACAACTATTGCGTCTTGTGCACGGTCAAGGCTGAAAAAGCGAACAAAAACATACCACAAAGAAATTTGTCGGGTTTCATAACCATTCCCCTCTATTAACTATATTCCATGTTCCATAAAAGAAGTCTAAGACGAGAGGAAACGAATACGCTTCTTCTATTTTATGAATTTTGCTTTCAAAAAACATAGTTAACTGCTACCGGTTTTAAAAGGGAATAAATTTCGAATCCAATTCCTTCTGTCTTTCGTCTGACAATGAATCGATTCTATACATTTGAGGCGACAATAATCCAGTAGTATTAAATGTAGCAAGGAAAATAATCATTTTAATCATTTTGATACGGACGAATAAGATGCTACTTACTTTCATGAAATAAGGGTAAAGAGGTAAAATAAAAACCTCATTGTGTAACAGCAGTTACTGGAGTATTAGCAGTAGTTTTCATTTTCTAACCATTTTCTTTTTCCTCCAACTTTCTTTTACGCAATGGACAGGATTTCCTGACCCGGGACCAAATTGGAGGTAGGTTTATGAAAAGTTAAACGTTGGAGGCATGAAGGTTTTAAAACGGCCTCAAAGAAGTTAGTCGTCATTTCTTGTCACGTTTGCTCTCACCCGACTGAAATAGACTTTTCTTCGGCTTTGTTCGCTGAATTGAGGGCACGAAGTTGACGAGTTCAGTGTTTGTTTAAACAGGCAACCTTTGCTTAACATCAAAGTGCCGAAGTTGACACACTTTTACTGTCAATTATAATATTACACGAATAATTTTTGTTGGTGCTTGTTGGTGAAATCCGAAGTCGTGGTGCTTAGAAACTTCACAACAGTCATGTAACAAGTGTCAAATGTGGGAAAATATGTGACCGCTACCAAATGCGCGAAGTGTTCAATTGAGATCAAAGCGCCGCAAAATCCACCAGAGCTTTGTCGAGATTGGTTTGAGATTTGCTGCTCATAAGTTTGAAAAAATGAGAAGAAGTAAAAAAAGAAAAAAAGAAGCATGTTTGCTTAACGTACGTTGCATGTCAGTTTCTTTTAATCATAATCAAACCCTGACTAAAATTACTTGTTCTATTATCTAAACAATGCACAACGTAACTGACTTCTTGTAACCACTATCGTTTGCTCTGCTTAAACTCGCTTTCTCCTAAAACCTGTCCGTTTTACCTTACTGTTTTTATCTTATCTCACTGTAATAGCAATTTGTTTTGATCGTTTGTAGGTTTATTATATCTATTATTTTTATTATTTTCTCCGCTCCTTTATGGTTCTTTATCATGCACCTGCACCGAAAGTTAACTAATTTTGTAAATATGGGATCAACTAGAAAACCGAATAGTTTACTTAACCCCCACACTAACTTTAACATCTATCAACCGAAAAGGTATACTGTAAACATAGAAAAGCTGTCACTTTTTAAATTTTGAGGAAGTACGTTGCTGTTGTTGCATCGAGCAAACCTGATCTATATGTTGTAGAATAGGCGGATTAGCGGGAAAGGGCGATACAAGAAAACAATATTGTGACTACAGGCGGATTTATTTTCGAGTCGCGCTTCGCGCTCGTTTTCGGGCTTCACGCCCGCGCTCGTCTATCGCGCTAGCCAGCTAATCCGCCTGTTCTGCAGGCTACATCGAGCGGTTACCCCCACATGTTTGTTTCTTTAATTTTCCAGAGATATGTTTTCATCTACTGTTACTGAAATTTTGACCCAATCCTGTTTCACCTTACAGAATACCGTGAAGCCTTCAAATGCTTCGATCTGAACGAAAATGGAACATTATCAACCAAGGAACTTAAATGCGCCATGCGCATGCTCGGATCAAACCCAACGGACTCTCAAGTGCAGGACCTGGTGAATGCAAAAGATTTTGATGGTAAGAAATGTCCATGTGCAGCAGTGGGATCTTAGGCAATCTTGTCCCCAGAGCTCGCGCGTTTTCGGTCAGCGGTGACCGAACGCACAACGCTCTTGACAAAATTAAAAACCGGAACTAGCAAACCTAGGTTCTGGTCAATCTCGTCCCTAGAGCCCGCATTACTCTCCTAGCAAGGGTAATGCGGGCTTTGGGTTCCGGTTTGATTATACGCATGCGGGATCAATAATGGTTTCTGGATATGCGTAGAGAGAGTAACTGAAGTAACTCCATAACATTGGTAAGCAATTTATGATCATCGTTTTTAACCTAACAGGTCACCATAGTAACAGTATAATCTGCCAAGAATACCCTTAATGTAAGAGTTAAGTGCTTACAACTCAGAAACGACTTCGGTGACCCTCATTATCTTACTATTGGCTCGCTGAGATACAACTTTCGCCGGGGTTATAGAATTTTCAGGACGGGTTCTGAGTCTAGATATTATTTCAAAAATTTAAAAATCGCTATTGGGCTTTCGCAAGTTTGAATATCTTTTCTTGGCTCTCAACCATATCTCTTTTGGACTCTAAAGATAACTTCAGTTGGACGGCGTTCCCGTAGTTAGAGGAGCTCAGTCACGGTATGTTTTTAGCCACGTACAAAATCAGTACTTTCAAATTGAAGGAAACCTGAAAATGATAGTTTCCAAAGATAGCTAAACACCAAAAGGATATATAATACTAAGCCATAAAGGAACAAGGATGGTTAAGAATGGAGAAGATTAACGCGGAGTATAAACGACAGGCTTGAAAAATTTAGGCTAAACTTTTCAAGACGCGCGAACCGTAACATAGCTCCCTGAGTGGCCTGATGACATGGTTTATGCATTATTTAATTGCAGTCACACAGTTACAGGGCACCATAATGCAGTGTTTTTTCTTTCTGTTCTTTAACAGGTGATGGCACAATTAATTTTGAAGAATTTGTAAATATGATCGAGGAACACAACAGTACAGAAGAGGATGACAATTTATTTATGATATTTAGTGTCTTTGACCCTGAACATAACGGTTTTATTGAAGGAGTACACATTAAGAAGGCTTTGCAAAGTTTGACCGATGTCCCTATCGAAGAAGTGGATGAAATTATAGAGAAAGCTAGAATCACTGATGAAAGGAAGATGAGTTTAGAAGGTAAGAGTAAACGTTGTGAGCCATAGAATTCAAATAATATATCACGAGAGAGGATGAAGTGAGAGAGAGAAAACGTAACAAATGTTTTCCGTCCACACTACGCCGGAGAAATTTGAAAACGCAACAATCACCGGTCATTTTGGATTTTTGTTTGAAAAAATATTCGGGCAGGGAAATCACGTGATTATCGTGATGTCACTGTCTTCGAAAAGCCCCGTTTTCAAGATGTTTTCCGTCCACACTAAGGCTCCGTCCACACGTATGCGGATATTTTTGANCCGTATCCGGAAAGAAAAAGTTGCGGATTCAAAAATATCCGGATACGCGTAGACGGGGCCTTAAACGCAAAGCCGGCGCTTGCAAATTTCTCCGGTTTGAAGAGCGTTTTTGAGACGGATTAGTGTGGACGGTCGGCCTAAACACAGGAAAAATAAGCTGCGTTTTCAAATTTCTCCGGCGCAGTGTAGACGGGGCCCAAAAATAACTCGAAAGAGGTTACCTTGAGTAGTATCAGTGATAAACTCTCTTACTTTTATCCTCTGTTGTCGTTCATTTGTTGATTGTTATTAGAAAATAGCTTGTTGGTTTTTAACTATATTATATTGTTAATTGTATTGTCAGGCTTTTTAATAGTTCATTCGAAAATAGTAGGTTATTGATTATACTAAGTGTCCCCAATTCAGTAGTAGACGGGTTTTTCCCCATCGGCTAGATATAAAGACACGTTAATAAAGTTTATGTATGTATGTCATGATAATGAAAAGTAAACATTCTTTAGGCATCGTTTACTAACTTGCTCGCATAAAAATTGAAGTCTTAAAATAACTTTGTCTGTGAATACCATTAGCTAACAGTTTTACTTGGTATTTGGAACAATTATGGTTAATTGATTTTTAAAGAAGCTCATGTTTTACGTCATTACTGACGGCAACTCCAAGAAATACCGATGAAATTGGTCAGTGGGTTCCAAAGTCAGCCATGCGTTTCTCAACAGCTCCTCGACAAACTTATACATTTTCTCGAGCTTTGCTCTCAGAAAATTGCTTTGTTTCTCGTAACAGAGCCAAACAACCGCAAATAAGATATAAAATATCATTGCATATTAACTTTCGCGCCAAATGAAGTTTTCACGGAGTTGAATAAATGAAACATATATTGGATAACCGTGCAGGAACTTTCATCTTTATAAAACTTATAAGCAAATTTCAATTCCTTTCACTTTTCTCTTAGAGTTCTCGGCGCTACTTGTGCCTCTAATCTACAGATCAGCAGATAGGCATGGTTACCATGGTGATAGAAGAAGCTGGAGGAGAAGTAAAAATTTGGAAGCAAGTTCCGACACTCGAGCCACTAACAACACTACTTCTTTGCAAGACCTGTTGTATCCGAACGACTGTACCAGACGAACGAAGTATTATGTTCCGGAAACAACATCCCTGAGTTCGTTAGAAAACCCCACTTTCCTTTAATAAATTCCATAACCATGGTGTCCATGCTTACAACTAAAATTTAACATGAGTAGAAAGAGTAAGTGATCCGCCATTTGTGACTGGAAAAGGTTACCCTCATTGTTTGGTTAATCTCCAACCCAGATCTACCAAGGCTAAACCGAGTGGGATCTGGGTACCAGATAAATGTTTGGTAGAATGTTTATGGACAGATTTTTTTGACGCCAACTGGCATTGGTTGCCGTGTTTGAAAGAGGCGGTTGAAAAGATACTTTTCATGGATGTATTGAAAAAGTAACGTATTATATTTCAAGGAATACTGCAAAAGTCAGCCAAACAACGTAAGAGGCGTGAATAAAATATATTTCGGCTGGCCAACACCAGCCTTCTTCAGGTTTATTTAAAAGAACACGAGTTTACATGGTTTGTGTATATAAAGAGCGGACGTTGTCTGAGCTGCCAACGTGATGTGTAAAAATAAGATAAGAATTACAAAATAATAATAACAGGCCTGCAGGCCTTAACAAAAGAGATGAAATATAAATTTCACCGTCTAATCTTTATCTTTATTGTATTACATTTCTTATAATTGTTAGTTTGTAATTCTTATTTTTATACATCTAGCTGAGAACAAGGCTGTCATAAAGTACATAGAAATTATTATGATACATTTTAAAATATAACGATGCCTTTTTTATGGAGTCTCAATTTTTTAATAGCTACAAGCCATTACGACTAATTGTTTTGGTCCTGAATTTTGCATTGTTCAGGTTCTTTTGGTATTTAATTTAGTACAATGCCATTTCCATGTTGGCTTTTATCTATGTAAAACAAAAGTCGTTGAGCTAAAATATTTCAAATAAAATAACTTTAAAATAACTTTTTGTTTTCAGAAAAATATGTAACATAAATTATATTAAGTACATTAAGTATATTACGAAGTTTATGTTCATTTCTCACCTTCGCGTCCCCTTAATTATACCAAAAATTTCCAATTAGCCAGTATGGGTTTTTTTTATTTTTAAAGTAGACAAATGTTCTCTTCGTATTGTACGAACGGTTTGCAAACCTTGCATATGACTTGTGCGCCTGAAATTTGAATTGACCAATCAGAATTCAGATAGCAAGAAAAACTGCATCCACTTATGTACTGACCTGGCATCAATGAAAGGCATTACAGTTAGGCAACTTTCCTCACTGGGCATGGCATTTTAAAAATATTCACGAAAAGCGATTTACAACTCCAAAAATCCTGATTAGAATGTAAAAAGGGAAAAAAATTGAAACATTTTACTTCTCCGAGCTTTTAATTTGGCGCCAAAAATGGGTTACCAGCGTCTGGCAACTCACTCGGAGTTCGTCTAGTGAGGCCAGGTAGGAAAATAGTTGAGTTATTTTGAACATAATTTGTTGTTCCTCGTCAAATTAAACCCAGAATTCTCGAGTTAAGTGTAAGAAGAAACCACAGCAAAGTCTTTAGTTTTGTTTAGCTGCGAAGAAAAAGACTATTGTCGCGTCGTTTTGGTGGGACAGTTCGGTTCGCTAGTACTACGGGCGCAGTCGCCGTATGCAAGAAAGACCTTGAGATGAATTATAAATTTCAGATGACGGTGAGCAACTGATTTTTCCTTATCAGTCAGCCAGTCGGTCAGCCAGTCAGCCAGTCAGCCAGTCAGTCAGTCAGACAGTCAGTTAGTCAGTCAGTCAGTCAGTCAGTCAGTCAGCCAGTCAGTCAGCCAGCCAGTCAGTCAGTCAGTCAGTCAGCCAGTCAGTCAGTCAGCCAGTC